TTAATTCCAATGCAATCCCGGCAGGCCCATTCCCACCTCTCTGTGCAACAAGGTACTGAGCAATAAAAGGGGCAGCAGACGCAGTCCAGGTATGCTGCGGAGGATGTGAAAGCCACACCTGACCCTTCACCCGCTGACGCTAATCATGTTGTGCATTGGCCTCTACCCTGGAAGTGCAGTACTGCTAACATCCTCATTCTCTAGAGACATGTTTACGCTTTAATATGTTACCTAATCAGCCCTAATCAGTTGTTAACTGTGTAAACCCTTGCATTTCTTCCTATTAATTCAGTTAAGATGTAGTATTCAAAGAAAATTTGGCACTAAACATAGTATAATGACCAGTGAAGCAGATACCTACATAAATGTGGATGTCCAGGGGTTTCTCCGGGAGTCTAAGGGTGTTTCTCAATACCAAGAATCCAAAGATCATGCTTGTGGTCTTGGCAAGACCGTTCTTGCTAACATGCCTTCCAAGAATGAACTTGGGGCACAATGTATCATGGGATTGTCCTCGTTCGGTGGGGATGCAACCGACATATCCTTGATATCTGGGGCGGGGCAAGAACGACATCCGGGGATTCTTACTGTCCTCTGTATTTCTGTTATTGATTATTGGAACTGGTCTTCGGCAATGGAAGATCACGTAAAATGGGTACATGAGCACACAAGTAAGGTGGCATCCTTAGATGGAAATATACTACCCATAATTCCTAGAGCTGGCTGTAACCCTGAAGGAGGGGGCTGAATAACCATTACAGCTCCTACTTATATAGATGTCTGATGCTATGCCAGATTCAACAGCATCTTTAGTCTGCAGACTTTAGACCTTGGTAAGTTACATGTGAAAACATTTTATGCAAGAAAAAAAAAGAGTAATGAGTTATAAAAATATCAGTGAGACAGAAGGATGAGCCCTGGAGGTAAAAGCCAGGTCTTCATGGGAGAAGGATTCATGAAGCTGTACTGCATTCTGGGGCTGAAAGAAATGGGTCCAATAACACAGCATTTTTTGGAAACCGAAGCCAGCCAACTCAGCGGGCTATAACTGGAAGTTTTCAAGCTGGCAGAAGATGCATGGTGGACTTAAGCCTTGTGGGGCACATGCCTCGGGCTCTTCCTCGAGGTACAGACACCAGAAACTGGATCCAATGTGCCAATTTGGAAGTGCAAAGAGAACTGGATGGCCTGATCTCCAACATGGACATCCATCCTGGCCAGTTCAGCCAAGGGCACAAAGACAGCAGGTCCATCCTGGGCTCTCAGCCCCACTCACAAACTCTCAGGCCGGGGGAACAAATCTGGGAGTTTATGACTGACTGAGGACATTTAAAAGGATCAGTTTGTGCCTCCATTTGGTCCCTACAGAAAGCAATCTGTCAGTGCGAGCCCAAGGTCTGGAATGGCTCCACAAATGGTGAAGGAACGAGATCAAAGCACCGACGGCCAAAAGCAACAGGATCACAAAGTGACGATGGTGAAACGAACAGATCCCACCAGTGGCCCAACATTTGTAGCTGATGCTGTCCAGATAAACCACAGCCATAAACTGTTCATTCAAGCAGAATGTTAACACATGTATCTATCTAAAGATCCATCCACTCTCATCAAGTCAGTGTCTCTAGTGATAAAATCCAGGGATTCCAAGAATGGGCTTTACATCAGAGAAAAACCTGTATCATGGGAGGAAATACGAAGTGGAATCCCAGCACCACACATACAGAAATGCAAACATAAACACACATAATACTTTTCTGAAATTCAGCAATGTCAGATATAGTGTACAACCACAGATTCAGGCCAAAGCAGCCCACAGGCACAGCGGTGCCCGCATGTCCAGTCTCGGTTTGGTGAGACCTTCATCTTCCGGCATGGCATCCCCTTACAGACATTTTCCAGGCACCCAAGACAGACTTCCGCTCAGCTGTGATTAACAGCAGTAATTTGGAGAACATATGCTGCTCTAAGGGTCAGTGGCAAGGGGTAAGGAGTGGGCAGCTGAACTACACAGTCTGCCCGTCACCTTCTGGTTTACAGCTCGATCTTTATGATCAAGAGTTGGACAAATCATAAGCAGAGACTGCTTATGGCAAAACCATGTTTGATACACTGCGACCAAGAGAAAGGCTGGGTACAAGGCATCTAGTCAGTTCGGCCAGGATGGAAGGAGAGGTTGGGTACGGGGCATCCTGAGGCCATGAAAAAGGCTGGGAGGGAGAGGCACAATGTGTGTTATACTTGGGACTATCACAGGGTGCAACCTTGCAGAATGATTCTGTCCTAACTAAACTACCAATAAACCTCTAGGCCGCTTAATTTCATCCTAATCTATCAAAACACACTAGTATCATTTGAAGAGTTTCGACACTAATCATCAGTAGTCACACGATTCTCCCATCCAGCACAATGTAACGCAGCAAGTGACCCAGCATGGACGCCACATTTGCTGAAATGCCACGTGAGGCTGTGTTCATGATCACATAGAGTATGTAAAAATTCAGATATCAGACCATCCACACATCATAACTGCATTGCTTAAAAGGTTTCCAAAGCCCGGAAGACTGCTGGGAAAATGCCAAAGCGGTAATTTCAGTGTGATCTGATGCATTGCGTGACCACCATGCAGCATCGTACTAGATTCCCTGGAGCACTTGAGACAGCGGCAAGGGGGGTGATTAATTGCAAACACGAGGAGCATGGATTATGGTATTATGGCTGGTGGGTTATTAAAACGGGCTCCACACCAGAAACACAAATGTCAGGGAGGCCCAAGGGGGTCTATGCACTACTGCTAAAAATATACAACAAACAGAAAGCACTAGGAAAATGGAGTGCGACACTGGTACTTTTGAACGAAAGACCAAATAAAGAACATTGGACTGCTGCTCTGTGATTCACTAGCAGGGTTTTTATACCATGTACCCATGTGCAAATTCCTTATAATGAGGTATGCAGCTTTGGAAGGAGTGAAGACGGAGGAGTTAAGGTATTCACGTCAAATTGGACCTCAAATTGGACACCGCTGGGGTGTTTAACTCTCCTATTATTAGTTATCTGTACTGTTTTTTTGCCCCAAAGCCCTGCTCATTATTCCCACAGTAATGCCATCACAAAGTTTGGGCATCAGAAAGAAATGCCAGCTAGGTTATGTGTAGATGAACAGGCCACTTCCAACAGTCTATATCAACTCTTTATAAAGACCCTTCCACCAAAATAATCCACACACACTAAAGCATTGGGCTGATAAACTGAAGAAAAAGTCTCAGCATCTTTGATATAATGGTCAGCTGATGAGATGGCATCAAGGGACGGTGTCCCTGCCTCCCCAATGGGCACCGCCCCCTGTCACTTGGGCTGTGCTGGCCATGAGTAAACAGTTGCTTTTGGAAATAAATCACTGGCTTCAGCACATCTAGCTGCCGTCGAGGGGCGGGTTACTCACAAGTCTTCTCCCAGTGATGGCATGGGAATCCCCACTTCCTTGGAAGGAACTACAGAAAGGCATTCAAACCCCTCAGGTCATGTGAACATCAGTGACCACATGTTTCCTGTCTCCAAACGATAAATCCCGAGGATTAAATGTCACTCAGGTTAGAATCCTAACCCTAGAAGGTCTGGCCAAAACCACACCGAGGGCTACAAAATCCTGCCTGAAACTCACAGGGAATGCCAGGCGGGGTTTTCAGAGTGAGACATCACATTCTGGGTGCCCATGTCATGAAGGAACGTCACAGGAATGACAAGCGGTAAAGCTGTTCTTCCCAAATGGACAGGCTGGTGGTGACAGCATTATGTGGTCTGCAGCAACCCAACTGCTCACACAGAACAACAGACACAGAGCCTTAATTATAACAGAACTATGCATTAGGACAGGAAGGCCGTACAACAGACCAGCTAAATTTAGAATGCAGACTGCAGTTCAGAGGGGCATATTTAACTGCATTGGGCCTGGAGGGTGATGACCACATGCTAGACTAATTCTATTTACAACTGAGTGTGCAAACCTGCTGTATGGTACCTGGATACAGTCTAGACCGCACCATTTACCTACCCCCTGTGGAGGTTTAAGACCTGAAGAATGGTTTTTAAAATCAAATGAAACATTTTTTGTGCTTTTACATTCATGATTTCCTTACAAACTAGCCAGCATGCTTCCTGGGAGTCTAGTTGACAGACAGAATGCCTTCCATGCATTTAATAAGATAAATGTTTTCAAAATCTCAATCCTAATATCTTAAAACAACAGTTTCTGGGAGAGACTCAGTAAAACCAACAGATGATTACTTCCGCAGGTTTTAGGATGTTTAACACACCAGTAACAAAGTCCGCTGGTGGGTGGAACCTAGTATGCCCACTCACGCTGCAAATTATTATCCAGTGCATAGGGATGTGTTTATGTTCGTTAAAATGGTTCATATATAGGGATTAGCAACAAATATAAAGCTTCCCGAAATTCAGACTGGTATTTAGTTGTCGGTTCCGTCCGATTACATAGGAAAAGGAACAGGAATAAGTCTGTAAGCGATCATCTTACGCCACCTGCTGGTCTTTTTTGTAGCCCAATCCGACAGCTTTATTTATATCTTTATTTCGTTCGGTATTTTTATCTTTATCTTTATATTTATGAGACTAGATTATAATCATATTGAATGTTGTGGTGACATCAACTACAAATATTTAGCCTTCTTTTTCCACATGATTTGCATGAATATATTTTTTTATATTTTATACCTTTCCTGGTTTTCAACTGTGTTTGGGATGGATGAATCTCACTGTATATCATTTTTTAAAACCGCAATAGATGGTGCTCCAGCGTCACACAGACGCTATTTATTTCAGGAACTGTTTTTTGACCTTTAGGCCTATATCTTCATCAGTATAACAGATGATGCCAATGAAATGTTAATCAAGCAAAATTATGGATTCAATTGACGGTTATTATAGGTGAAAAGAGGCTAAATCATTTAATATATTAAAATAGATGCGTTACTCAACAAATGAAAATACATCAAGCTTCTGAACTGTTTCTACATATGGGTCTAACGCTGCTAAAGTATCGTTATAAACGTGGAAATGGCGTTGAATATAGCTGCGGTTTTCGTCGAGGTTCGATAAGCTGCCTGGACTCAGGATGTGGTTAGAAACATCTACAAAAAAAAAAACTTTCTTCTGAAGCGTCTGAATAGGAGTTGTTCTCTTCTTCGTTTCTGATCGAGTTGACCTTTTCGTGTTAATTCTGTTCACCAAATTTATGTAGCCTACGTCGAAGTGGCACGGCCCCATTGCTTTAATACGCCCAATGCTAAAACAATACTAGAAAAACGCTGTAGTATTTCTGACTAATACCGTGTGTGTATGTTGAGGATCTTTTATCGTTCTTTATATGTCAGTTCTGCTAGTAATTATATAGGTTCACCAACAGGAATATTACAAATGCTGCATGCCAGAAAAATCTGTGAACGAATGTGACTACAACGTTGATATAGGTTGTCTAGTTTTTAGCGAACACTTGCATTGCCGTACAAAACACTGCACGCTGGTTACACAAGACTGGGTGGACTTAAAAAATAAGAACCTCTAGAGAGCGAGAAAGAGCTAAGTTGCTTAAATGCGGAATGCGAGTAAATGGTATGTTACTACTCCGGACTCTCTCGTGGATACTCCGCACCTGCATGATAAAACAGCTAATTGGTCAGACGTCTCCTGTAATGAAACGCCCCGAAGGCGAGACGCTGCCTTTGGGGAGGTGCGGGTCCCGGGTGGCTTATCAGATCTTGCTCTCTCTCCTGTCGCTTTCTGATCTCTCTGTGATCGTTCCTCCACACCATGAGCGCAGTTTACTGGCTCCTGTTGCTCAGCGCGCTGGCCGGATCCTCAGCCCAGGGTAAGGGGGATGTCGAGCCCTTCTCTCTGCAGATGAGTTTAGTGGGAGTGGGAGTGGGAGTGGGGGGTTATTTCTGCAATAATTGCACTTCAGAACTTCTTGTTACTGAACTGGTAGTGAACTGTGCCGCTAATTACAGCTTCATTTAAGCCCCCGTGCGGGACCGACACACATCCTATAGTTCATCATTCTGCTTGGTCAAAACTGGAAGAAAGAAATTCAGTACAATCAACATTTTGAATTCAGATAAAACTGAATTTGATAAAATTTTAACTTTAAGAAGAATAACTCGGCTTGAGTGCAGTCTGCACAGTATTGCGGTCGTCCTGCTATTTGTAGACATAAAACTGTGGCTCAAATCAACCATTGTATTCAGTGACTTACCAGTAACAGTTTTCCAGTGAATGTTCGGGGAATACCTTGTGTCCTTCCTCTTCTAGAAACCCTCCCTCTCGCTGGGCATAAACACAGACCTGTTCCTGGCTCGAGCCACAACATCAGCAAAAATGACCCAGGGGTTCAAAATGCCGTGCTGGTGTCAACGTACACATTCAACAATGAGTCCAATGACATATTCTTCTTCAGGGTGTATGCCATCAAAGTTGCTCAGATACAGGTAGGAGAAGGTTCTTCAGACATAGAGCTATGAAATCAACATATGCAAACATGTTAACTTTGTAAGGTGCTGGCCAGAAGAGGTGGCTTTGACGTTGGGTGTCACTGTTTGGTTGGTTTGCATGTCTTTGGATTTCTTATTCAATAGAACTTGGTAATATTGTTAAAACAAATTAACATTCTTGTCCTACAGCAGGCACATATCTAATGAAAACCTTGACTCTTGACTGCAGATTGTGAAGGGTATCAAGTACGTTCTGGAGGTGACCATCTCACGCACCATCTGCAGGAAGAGCATGTCTCCACCCAGCCTTGACAAATGTCCCTTCCAGCCTGAGGGAGCACTCCAGCAGGTAGAGTCCAAGTCAGCCACCCCGTTGAGGGGAAACACTGCCTGTCCCACATAAGAGCAAAAGGTCCATCTGTTGTGCTGCCTTCGGTGTCACCACCTTTAGGTCTGCTACTCATATGTGGCAGGCAGGCAGTGTTGATGGGTGCTCTACCTTTCAGATGTTCAACTGTCATTTTGAAGTGTGGGCCATTCCATGGAAGCACTGGAGCAAAGTGACTTCCTTTGTGTGCCACCCGCCCAGCCGCTTGCTGCCTACAGGAAGTGAGGTGGCTCGACGCTGAGTAGCCGGGCCCCCACCCAGATGCACTCGCCATGTGCTGAAACTGATGCAGTGACTAATACTCTAAGTCCACTTTTTCCACAGTTGAGGTGACTCGTCCCTTACACCCCCCAAATTAAATCGTTAAATTCCTCACCGCTTCTTAATTTTATCCTGACCTGACTGCCAGACATATTTGTTTCATAACTTGATGTACTTTCTGGAAGCGCTTACATAATGGAATTGGTGTATGGATGACTGATAATTGTGTGCTGCAGGAAATGCAGCAAGAAGCCTTTTCACACCCCCTGACTGAGCAGGCAGCTCAAACCACAGGCACTAGCACCGTCTGCAAGCAGCACTAACTAGCTGTCATGCCGCTAGCCTCAAGCTGTGAATTCAAGAGCACCGGCTTAACTCAGAAACATTCTCCTGACTTGTTCACTGCACCATGCTGTAAGCAAGCACTTCTACTACAGATCAACTTAAGAGCTTGAGTGTGAAAATTTACCTTTACAGCTCCCCATTTCAGCTTCTTAACCGCAATGTTATGGTTCAACCGGTTGATTTTTAGATTTTCCTTCTTTAATGGTTAAAAAGCTGCATTTAGCTGCCTGTGGAATAGAAACCAAATCTGCCCCCACCACCCCAGCCACACACTTTTCAAACTGAGTGCTGCTTCCGCATACTTATTTCCCCATTTTCTGATAAAATGAAGCAGAACTAATTTTTTCCATAAGCAAACAAAAACTGCTGAAATAAATGCACACTTAACCCGACAATTTGTGACTTTTATTTCTGTTTAGTCTGAGGTGTCTATTGGACAAGCAGACGTCCTGCTCAGAGAAATGTTTGCGGATCACTATAGTCATTTAGAGCAAACAAAATCTGCCAGCTGCTGTCATTAAAGAAAAAGCAATTATGCTTTATAACGGTGTCAGAAATGGTCCCTCCCAGTCCCAGAAAATGATGAGTTACACTGCAAATACAAATTAGTGTAAGCGTAACACTGAAGAGCGGTGGGTCATCAGGGTAACACACACAGCCGGTCTGGGCATCACATTACAAGGGGAAGGAAGGAGAACAGCAGGAGGCTGAGAGCCATGTCACAGTTAGCCAGTGTTATTCTTCAGTCCTTGTCTGAGCTGAAGTATGGGGGGGGGGGTCACACCTGGCTGAGATCCAGCTTGCACAAGTATGGCGACCGGAAAGATCCCAGGTAGAGATGTCCGTCGTGCTCGTGAGCCTCACTGACATAGGCAGCCACCACCCCGTGGGGGTCGTGGAGGCTCCGCCGGCAGGCCCCCCCCTCGCCTAGCTCTAGTACCAGGCTGTACCGGGGCACCAGCTTCAGCACCATGTCCTGGCTAAAGAGCTGGGGAAGCCAGAGAAACAACTTTATTGGACAAGAACGACACCCCGTGTAGGCAGAAAGAGACCACACTGTGAAGAGCGGAGTCTGCTGGGAAAATGCCCAGCTTTCTACACCCAATTCATATGGATGTGCAAGGAAACCAACTTATAGATAAGTGTAACAACTCTAGGTACTGTTATTAATATTACAAATTTTACAATCTTGCAAACCTGCTGGTTTACACAGCACTGCTGAGTGGATGGAGAGAGGAGGCACTGTGTCCACAGACTGGCAGGCCTGCTCGGGTGAGATTAGACCTGGTTGGTATGACTGAGTGGATGGACAGAGGAGGCACTGAGCTCACAGACTAGCAGGCCTGCTCTGGTGGGGTTAGAGCTGAGTGGATGGAGAGAGGAGGCACTGTTCTCACAGAGTAGCAGGCCTGCTCGGGTGAGGTTAGAGCTGGGTGGTATGACTGTGCTTCAGCTATCCATGTACGTTTCAAGTAAATGCTCTGGGGTTCAGATGCCTCCCCGTGTTGTCATGGGGTTTCCTCCTGGTTCTCTGGTTTCCCCCCCCGCAGTCCAAAAACATCCTAAGGTTAATTGGAGTTGCCAAATTCCCCATAGGCATGAATGGTGTGCCCTGTGATGGACTGGAGCCCTATCCTGGGTTATTCCCATACAATTTTTATTGATCCACCCGGACTTAAATCCAGACCCAAGGCAATAAGTATGAATTAATGTGACTGTGTTGTCCATGTTAACTATGGTCAGTCATATAGACGCGACAACTTCTTTCAATTAATTTGCACAAGGGTGTATTTGTTTAAATCTGTTCTTTTGTCTCTTTGTCATTGTGCTTCCTGGGATGGGCTCCAAGGTTACTGTGACACTATACTGAATAAGATCCAGGGGGATGGATGGATCCATACATCACATAGTCAAGTATCACATACTTAACTGATGCTGCTCATTATGTGTTTAATAATTCTGTCGCCCTCTGTTGGCCATCTTCAGAAACTGTCACAAAACGACCACTTCCTGTGTTTATCTGTTTTTAGCCTCTACAATAGGGCTTAAACAAAAAGGGCACAATTTAAACTACGATCTTTCCATTGTAATCTTTCTGTAAAATGTGTTTGTCTGGCTGACTCTAAACACAGTAAAGGCAATCCTATTGGACCTGCTACTTAACTTAGCTTTCAGTGACTGGGCCTGCAAATGCATTTTTATGTGCATTTTTTTCCCCATCACAAAAATCTATTAGTAATCCCAGTCATGGCTCCTGAAGCTCATTGCGATTGTTGTATTGTTTTCACTGCATGGAGTCCTGCTCACTTTGCTGTGGAAAGAGACATCCACAGTTAAACTAAGCGGTCAATTCCTCAGCTGTGTGCGCATGCCCATGACACCGATTGTGCCATATACCTCCAGCCTGTCCCCTGCGGTTTATGTTGTGCTGTGGGGCACCAAGTATCATGCTGGTACTCCCCGCTCCATACCTTGAAGATGAGTTTTTTGATCCAGGGCCTCTGGGAGAGGAAGTCCAGCATAGAGAAGCCGGGGTTGGGCCGCACAGCCGACATGGCCACCCAGTAGCTGCCCGAGCTGCTGCGCCGGATGTTGTCAGGGAAACCGGGCAGGTTGTCCACAAAGGTGTCCATTCCCCCTTTGTTAAGGCCTGAGACATGGACTCTAAACAGAAGCCAAGAGACACATTAGGTTTGCAGATGCATACGGTTACAGTTGCATAAAAGGGCATCCTATCCAAGGTGCCCTCTGCGTCATGCCCCGTGTCTCCCGAGACGGGATCCAGGGTCACTGTGACTTTGGGCTTATGAAGATGAAGGCACTGCAGGGCTAATCTTATAATATTCTGAGAGAAAAACAGAGCAGGTAACATCAGGTACGTTGATCTGAGCAAACATGCTGGATGGCAAGGTGAAGCCACACAGTCCCTGCTGACTCGTAAAAATAGCACAGAAGAAAAAAGAAACACCAAAATGGGGCCATAAATGTTAAGGGTTTCATAACTTGACAGTGGGGCTTTTCAGGTTTTAGCTCTGGCAAAGCAGAAGGCTGCTTCTGAATGCAGTGGTTATACATATGCATCTTCTCCTATCTGGCAGGTCCCCCGTGAACAGCCTTGCGGATATAATTATGCCTGTAATTAGGGGCTTTGTGAAAGCGAGAGCTTCTTCGGGAATGTTCCAGCGTGCGACAGCCCCAGCGGGATGCCAGCGCATTCTCACAGCTGTACGTTTCAGGTGGGAACCTTAAACCCTAGCAGGGAATTATCAATGAGTGAGAGAACTGAGATCCAGTTTCAGGACCCATTGGGGTAAAAACAAATAGGCACCGGGTCCAGCTGGAATGGGAAAACGAGCGTCTCCCCCTCTCTCCGCAGTGGGAGGCTCCGCCTTCACTGGTATTAGACAGGACACCGACTGCTAAATAAAGCCTCGGTTGCCTAGGTGACTGCAAGCCTGCATCATTAGCGAAGGCAGTAGTTCTGAAGGCTGCGGATGACTCTGGCTCAGTACATTCAGCAACATGAGGGAAATGCGCTTGTCTAACGGTCTGGCCACAACCCATGCAGTGGTGCAACCACTACACTAACAGAAGAAAATTATGAAACACTGGCTTCAGATGCCTTGCCTAATGCAGCAAAATGCACAACAGCGTGTCCTGGGAAAGCCATGAGTGAGGGCCCACTGTGGAAATCTGGACATGAGCAGTAATCTGTTCCAGGGATGAAGTCAGTAAGCAATGACAGTATAACCGTACAGATACATGCAAAGGGAAAACAATGGATGCAGCTGTGGTTTATGTCCAAGAATGACTGCTACTTCCGTTTCTGAAAAGGGGTCCTCATAAAATACAGAGTATTTATGACATCTGCCATTCTGCCTCTTTTCACAGACCAGACGGACAATAGGTTCGGACCTAATCTATGGCTTAGTGTGGAACTGATCTGACCCTAACTGTGGGTTTTCTCGGAGTGGGTGGTGAGCAAGCTCCCCAGGAGACTCTGGAGAACAAGTGCCTCTTTGACAAGCCTCTACCCCACAGTACAGCTGACCTGTGGGAGTTTTGACTTGATTGGTGTGGGCAGTGAATGACGGGCTGCTTTTTGCTAATGGCTAACAAGGCACGAAGCTTACCTGCGTATCCTGGCCATGGTCATCTCCGTCACCAGCACAGACTCCTCGTCAGGGCAGAGCTGGATCCCGTTGGGGAAACGGAGGCCTTCCATCAGCACGGAAACCTCCCTGGTGACGGTGTTATATTCCAGGACTCTGCGGGTACAGGGACATCAGCCAGAGTCCAAGACGAAGCCCACATGCATGTCTCATATGTGCAAATATGCATGTTGTCCATCTCTCATCTAGCAGAACTGCAGGACATTACTTTTATGAATGATCAAATATGTTTATTTGTAATATTCTATTCAGCTCCATTTCCTGTATGTGAATGTTGACCAGTGGCATTAATAAGCAGCTAGACAGACAATGTCTAAGGGTCTGGCACCAAGGGTCTCTGGGCCCTACCGTCCATCTGCTGTCGCCTCCATGACAAGGTGGAGGAAGTCCCTGCGCTGCCATCTGCTGCTGGAGTCTGTGAAGTACACTCTTGTGCCGTCCTGCGTCACATCCAAGTCGTTTACGAAAGACAGCCTCCGTCCCTCCACCACCTGCCTGGTTGACACCAGGGTATCCACCTCGCCTGAGCATCAAGGAGACAGAACCGGCGGGTGACACCCCTCCTCTACCCGCAAAGTCCAGGGGACATTGTTTTAGATCTAAAAAAATAAGATGCCATAATAGAAGCTAATAAAGCATACAACAGCATATAGCCATTAAATAACCAACTACCTGTACAATATGTTAGCAATGATTTATTCCTCAGAATACATATCAGATTCTTGGATTTCTGAATGATTCCTTGAAAATTATCCTTCAAACTAGCTGCCATAAACCCAACCTGACATCATGCAGCTATATCTCATCCTGTAACTATGTAATACCATAAAAGTAAATGGTATAATAAGGTAATGAACTGGACTACAAGGAGGGGGTGCTTATTCCTGTGACCCCGCACGAACTAACCGGTAACCAGGTTGATCTCGAACAGGCCGAGATAGGCGTCCGCTACGAACAGGGTGCCATTGGGCCCCACACGGATGCCGAGGGGTCGCCCACACGTTGGCTCGTCATCACGGGAACCTTAGAACACAAAACATCGGTGGTTAATGGAGTGAAATGAGATTTCTCTGACAAATACCAGACATAAAGTGTTGCTGATTTTCAACAATAATAAGTAAGACAGTAAAATGCTAGGAGGTACAGAAAATTGCTGTAACTCCAAAGTGGTAGCATCATATCAGAAATGTATAACCTAACACTGTGACTCTAAGGGTTATATTAGAAGTAGCACAGCTGCACTGTGCTTTCAGCTCACTGTGAAACACAGGTTGGCAGGAATAGGAACAGAATAGACATGTTTAACCTGTAATGCCAGGTCCCACTCTTACCACAGGGCAGCTTTCCCAATCTAGCCAAGACATGTATCTTCCCATCCTGAATCTTCACAATCTTCCCATCAGCCGTACCAGTGTAGAACACATCTACAAGGGGCGGGGCGCACAGAGGCAAAGTCAACTCGCTGGACAGGCTTTGAAATGTCAGCGCCACAGCAGAGCAGGGAAAAACCACAAGCTCACGCCCAAAAACTAGAACAGACTGTGGATGCAGCCTGTCACCAGCCCCACCCCCAGGGGCCACCATTCCCACTTGTCCACTGAATTCCATCACACCACCCCTGGGAGCACCGTCACTCACACACTTTTTGATTCCACTGACCTCCAATGTTGGCGATGGACTCTGGCCCAACCAGCTGGTCTTCAAACAGCCTCTCAGCCTGCCTCAGCTTCAGGTTGGGCTCAAAGCAGCCCGCCAAGAGAGGCGGCTCATTGAGGCTGAAAGGACCAGGACCAAGGGAAATCACCTTCAGGTCCGGGCTTGGATCATTTGGCTCATTAGTCCAGCTCACATACCCATGTTAAACAACACAGGGTAGCATGTTCCTCTGGTTCCTATGCCAACCTATTCCTATGCCAACCTACAAATAAAAATGAGGAGCTACATCTCCTAGTGTGCACAGCTCACAGGTTCCTGCTCAGATCTCTGAGCTGCCCAAGCACAATCAGTGCTGTTATTGCACAACGCAGCCATGTGGAGCACGTGGACCCACTGAAGGACGCCTCCGAAGTAGGCCATGGGTCACCGGTGTTTACAGAGCAACTGCAAGCTTCAGACACAGTCTGTGACTCCGGTCTCATGTCACACCTCTATGGATTCAACATCAAAACACAACTAATCTACATATAAAAACACAATGCAGTGTGTCTCATAACACAAAGGCAGTTTTTCAATAGGTAATAAGAGAGTATTTCTATATTAGAGAGTAAGAGTAAGGCGAAGTCCTTTCCTAAGAATGATTCACTTTTAAGTGTATGCATATGACAGCTGGTCTTTGGGTTTTCTTCCAAGTCCTTTATAAAAACTATTGACCGGATAACTGAGTAGCACTTGCACAATCCAGATTGCTCACAAGAAACTGTAGAAATTTGTTACACCCTTAAGCGACAAAACCAGAAGTTTATAAACCTGGGTTCCCCAATTTGGGTCGTGGAGGGCCCTGCTCAAACATACCTTATTTAGCTCGCAAGCTAATTGCTTGGTTTAGTAGGTGTGTCTGAACAGGGAAATCTGCAGACTGTGTTGCAGCCTGGCCCTCCAAGACATGAACTGGGGAACCCTGTTGTTGCTTATATTACTGTTAATATGTGAACCCTGAGAATCTGAGCAGGGAGGTGTGGTCTCTCTGTTTTGCTGGACAAAAACAGGCCAGACATTGCAAACTTTGAAATGGTGAGGGAAGAAATAGTGAGGGGAAAGCAGTGGAGCTAACCTGAGGACCTCGGGCTGGATAGGAGACTCCAGCAACAGGACAATGGCAAGCAGGGGGAGTAGCAGTATAGCCCCCAGTGTCAGAAAGGTCACCCGGAAAACCTTTCCGCTGTAGGTGCTGGAGGAAAAGAAGGCTGATTAGGACAAGATTCATGTTATATTAATGGAAGAGTTTCACCTCTGCCGGAGATCTTCATGAGTGTCTATAAACAGGCAAAAGTGACAACCCAAAGGCGCCATAAACAGCACGCAGTCTGTTTACTCGGGCTTCCGTGATCATCCCTGACCAGATACACACGCATCCGCAACAACGAGCGAGCTGCTTTTTCTCAGAGCGGCAACCTCCGAATCAAGTGATACAAATACATGCAATTAAGGGCTGGCAGAATTTCCCAGAACCGCGGTAGCAGCCATTTACACCTGGGATTTCGGGGAAGTCGCGCAGAGCACAGTCTCAAGCTCTTCCTTTATGCACCACTGGCTTAATCACACCGTACTTAACAGCACTGACATCTAATACAAAGCCCAGCTGGGGAGCCATAAAAACCTTAAATTCACATGCAACTAAGATTATTAACAATACACTTAGAGAACGCCACCTTGAGCTCTTGTGATGGTGCTCCTGAGACTCATCTGTTATAATCTGAGGTCTGTTCAGCCTCCTGAAGCGCAGTCCGTCCGACTCATTCATGCTGGAGCGGGATCTGCTTGTGCCCTGCTTTCTGCTAGTACACCCCTACATGCGATTGCGAAATACGCCTGAACAGCCCTTTAAACGAACCTGCGCCACCGTACGATACGGGTCGCAGTCTGCGCTAAACCATAACGAGACTGTCGTTACTGCAGCTGCTTCTTCTTCTTCTTCGTCGTTGTCTCGAGGTAGTGTTGAGAGCTGCCGAGCCAACCACTGCCACCTGGCGGGTTAACAGGGTCAGGGCAGCATTTTATATAAACATCCGTAAACGCTTCAGAGGAAATACGCGGGCGGGGGGACGAGGTTTCCAAGCCACTGCCTGGACTATTTGAACAGAATTCAATCGAATAACCAATGAAGAGTATCTTAAATTAGCCCGCTACAGACACTGTTATAAGGATCCTTACAGCAATGCACAGTCCTGCTGGATATCTCGTCACCACCACCACCTGTAAAAATCTAACTTCTATTTGGGTACTATTACCCCCTGTCGTACTCCTGGCTATCATGAAGACTGTCCCAAACTGACCGATTACTGCTTTTTCTTTCATACGCTGGAAAGCGAGACACACTTTTTTTTTTTTACAAAGAAATATTCAATAATAAATTGAAATTTACACTTTATAGTTGAACAAGGCTTTTTTTTTTATTATCATCATCATCATTTTGGCATAACAACCCATTATTTTGATTTTAAATTTTACATCTCCTGAGCACCACCTAGCGGTCAAAAATCCAAATAGAGCACTGGCAGTAAAGAAGTGCCAGTGGTCTGCCACGAAAATGCGGGGCTAGAATAGCCATCTGGCATACCGGGCATTTGCGGGCCCACAAAATTTATCACAAGGGACCCCAATATCCAGGGCTGATTTTTATTGCCAGTGCAGTCCTGGGAAAATGTGTAACATTATTCCCCACAGGCAACATATAAATGGACTCTGAAACCATTTTTGGAAAATGTTTAATAAACGACATAAGTCTGAAAAATTACACCTTTTGTTCCTGATTATATCTGCTTACAAAACTAAATAATCTGGCAAAAATAAACAGTTCTCTCAGTTGGTACAAGATGCAACAGGAATTGCCCATATGAAACACTGCTTACAAGAATCTGTTTCCTAGGAAATTCCGTAGTTTGAGGTCACATACATTAGAAATTGGGGAAACATTTATTTTAACCATAAATACACTTGTGTTCTTTGAGATTTCTTAAATACGAGAAGATCTTTCCGCATTTGTCACAAATGAAAGGCTTCTCTCCCGTGTGGATCTGCTGGTGTGCTTTAAGATTATTTGCTTGGCTGAAACTCTTTTGACATATGGCGCAGCTGAAAGGTTTCTCTCCCGTGTGAACACGCCGATGTCGATTCAGATTCTGGATTACGCTAAAACTCTTCCCACACACATTGCAACTGAATGGCCTCTCCCCTGAGTGCGTCCGCTGGTGCAGGTTGAGACTGCTTTGCTTGGTAAAGCTGCGCCCACATTCGCTGCAGCTGTATGGCCTCACTCCTGTGTGGATTAGCAAGTGAGTGTTGAAGTAACTAGCAGAACTGTAACTTTGTCCACAGACACTGCAGTTGTAAGGCTTACCCCCCGAATGAATCTGCTGGTGTGTTTTCAGATTGTTTGCTGTGCGGAAAAGCTTTCCACATATGTCACAACTGAATGGTTTCTCTCCCGTGTGAATTTGTTGGTGCTTCTTCAAATAATTTGCAGAGCGGAAGCTTTTGCCACATTCGACACAGCTGTGCGGTTTGTCTCCAACATGAATGGCTTGGTGAGTCTTGAGAGCGCTCCTCTGATTGAAACTCTTCCCACACGTGTCACAGACGAATGCCTTTTCTCCAGTGTGAATCCGCTGATGTACTTTCAGGTGACTGGATTGTGTGAAGCTTTTCTGACACAGAGCACAGGTGAAGGCTTTTTCGCCGGTGTGAATGCACTGGTGTCTGGCCAGGTTGTGTGCGAGGCTGAAACACTTCCCACATACATCACAGGAAAAAGCTCTCTCACCAGTGTGAACTCTCTGGTGAATGTTAAGTGCACTTTTGTTGCCAAAGTTTTTCCCACATTTGACACAGCTGTAGGGTTTCTCGCCGGTATGAACCCTCTGATGCATCTTAAGTCCACTTTTCTGACTGCACCTCTTGCCACATACATCACAGCTATACAGTCTCTCTCCCTTGTGCACTGTCAGCCGGTGCACATTGAGGCTACGCTTCGCTGTAAAACACTTGCCACACTGAACACATTTAAAAGGTTTCTCCCCGGTGTGTACAAGCTCATGAGCTTTAAGGTCTCTCTGCCTGGCAAAGATTTTCCCGCAGTGAGAGCAACTGAAACATTTCTCACCCTTGTGAACACTGAGCCAGTGCACCTTAAGGCTGCATTTCACAGGAAAGCTCTTCCCACAGTGAGTGCAGGATAATGGCTTGCCACCTTTGTACGTGACCTGGTGCTCTTTAAGATGACTCCGAGTACCAAAAATCTTCCCACAGTAGGTACAACTGAATCGCTTCTCTCCTTTGTGCACTATTAAGTGGTGCATATTTAAACTGCACTTGGCCGTGAACCTTTTCCCACACTGCGTGCAGCTGAACGGTTTCTCGCCCGTGTGCACCACCTGATGTGCCTTCATATTACTTTGCCTGCCGAAGGTCTTCCCACACTGGGGGCACATGAACCGTCTCTCTTCTCTGTAGACTTGTCCAGCGTTCTTTACTTTCACCCTACCATTCCGGATATTTCCATTTTCATCCATGTTTAAACCTGCCATTCCCGACTCTAAATCCCGTCCCTCTTGGCTTCGAGAGGCTGTGTCCGGCTTCTTGTGTTGCGGAGGACCCACCGCTCTTTCTGAAGCTTCAGCTTCAGTCTCCACAGAATCTGTAGGAATGGTGGGAATAAACATGCAGCTTTTATACGGCGACTGGAAGTGTGACTTTCACATGCAGCAAATGAATGTCCCTGCTTTCAGGAAATGGCTTCTTTGAGCCACCCCTTCTGCCTTTGCACTCACTCTCTCTGCCAGCGCTCAGCTGTCCCAGTGGGTCCCCTTTAGCCAAATCCTTCATGGCTCTCTCCTCTTTCATGGCAGAAGATTCAAGCCAGACCTCTTCCCTGTCATCACACTGTAACCAGGGACTGAGAGGATTAGTCAAAATGAAAAAACTTTGTGCATGCTCACACGTTATCCCCTGTAGGGTGACATATCACATCAGCTGAGAAATGCTACTTGAAACTGTTACTTGGCCATCTGGTCAGATCCACAGGGAATCAAACAGCCTGAACCTCAAAGCGAATACAAACATAATCAATCCAGAAGTAGTGCAAATAACACCTGTTAACTGCCATTGATAGTACCAACAGTCCTGACAATCGCCAAGCCACAAAGCTACCCAGGCAAATAAAGGGACAGGAAACTGCATACTATACTGTTAGTATATACCGATTAGGACCAAAATGTAGCATGTCGTATCCCACACTCAAAAAATATGAAATTTGCAGTATGACAAAGATATGTCAAATGGATGAAAATACCACCAGTCTACTGCATCCCATAATGCAATGTGGCAGATCAGAGTCTCAAATTTACTGTTTAACTCAGAAAAAAATGGCAGACCTGATGGCCAACGGGGTGAGCTCAGACTCAGAATCAAAATAATTTGTTGAAACTTTTATTCAGTTTTTTTTTTTAATTATTATTTTCATTTTTAAAAGGGAGGGCAAAGTACAATGAACCAGTGTCATACTAATTGGACCAAACAAGTAAGCAGTTCTGCATGGATCAGCTAGCTGACATTCAGCTCACATTTCTTTGTTACATTTCCCATAGGCAAGGCACAGGTTAGTTAGTTTTCAGATATACACACAGGACATGGGCATTTAACCCCAAATGCTGCCCTCTAATCACAGCCTGCAAGAGGATGAATTGAATGTTACTGTCATTCTGATTAATGTATCTAGGACTGACTGCCTGTTAATATGTACCCTATGTACGATTTGTAATTTATTTACTGAAGTATTACACTTGTTCGCAATTTGTATATGTAGAGTTGTTTGCCGTGATTGCCTTTGTAACTCTATTCAGTCATGTAAATGACTACACATCTCAATGTACCTGTCCTTTCAATACACACGGGGCTTAACACATATGACGCTTTAGGTAAGTTTACCGTTTAGTTTTTTTTTTTTATAGTTTTATTTGTAATAGGTTTTTGTTGTAGAATTTGAAAATTTTCTAAGGCACACCTAACAAGTACTTTGCAGCACAACGGTTTGAAAACACTGTTTTAAACAATGCCTTTTCTGTGGGGAATGGTCATTGTGGCTTATAAAGGCTCATGAAAAAATGTAGTATGTTATAAAACTTACGAAAAAGCTGGCATACTGGTTACTACACTGACTACCAGCACGCTGTATGCAGTACATGGTGGTTAAACTGCACAGAACACTGTATGTAGTACATGGTGGTTAAACTGCACAGAACGCTGTATGCAGTACATGGTGGTTAAACTGCACAGAACGCTGTATGTAGTACATGGTTTCGAGAACAGCTACAGAAAAATACAGATAGACATCATGATAAATCATCATGATAAATCCAAGATGGCAGCTCATGTTACCAGCAGGACCTGGGAGGGAAAGCTTTAGAAAAAGAAGTCAGGGGTTTCAGACATTTCAAATTGGCACAAATGATTCCTCTGTGCCTGTATGGTCATTAGGCAGCAGTAGCTGACAAGAACAGGGAGACTCAAAGAGAAGCCGTTTGCTCATTCACACAGAGGAAGAGAACCTGGATCAGGAAACCCACATGCCAGACCCACAAACCGACCTCCTCCATCCGAGCTGGACGCCGCAGTGGAGTGTCATCAGAGCACGTGGCTGCAGGTCCTCCTTCATCAGAGCTGATGGAGAATAATGGCTCCTGTTCTGAAAGAGGCAGAGCCAGGGAGTGCACCTAATCCGGGGAACTTCCAACAAACACCAGAGTCAACTAGAGTCTTTCAGTGACAGATAACAGTAGTTGTTACTGAACTATGTAAAATACTGCTGTAGCACCACCATTAGGCCCATGGGCATTATTTTGCTTGCCTGAATAACCCAGTTCACCAAATGTGCTATTTCTACACCTTATGGTCTCTACTCCCCAGATTGTTTAAAGTGTAAAAGGACAATAAGTGCAAATTACTGAAAATTAGTAATTAGTTAGCCACTTTTGCATTACTTCAGTTCTCTAATTAATGCTTGCTTGGACCCCTAATAACAGTACAAACCCACCTCCAAAATCCAGTCAAAAACAGTTGATGACAGGGTTTTCTAAAATGAAAATAGGTGCAGAAAGGAACACTGGACCTGGAAATGTGTGTGCTATTCTTCCAGCATTTTCCACATGCTGTTCCTTGATCACAGTTTATTCATATTTATTCACACTCGGGCAGGCCAAAAAACAAAGCACTTCACTCCCAAGCAACCCACCTTGGACCGTCTGACAGAGATCAGAGTTTAACCAGCAGCTGTGTATCCGGAGCGACCCGCCTCTCCCCCCTTCCTGTGGGCGTTCCTGCGTTGTCACCGATTCGCTCTCCATCAGCTGCAACCTCTTCCTCAGAGACTCGTTCTCATTCTGACTCTGGGACACCTCCAAGCGCAATGAGGCAAAGTTCTCATCAACTAGTCTGAAGATTTTATCTGCAGCATCTTTGGATAACCTGTCCATGATGGAGGCTACCTGCGTCTAAAAAACAACATACCATTCATACTTCTCCAAATAATTTCATACCGTATGTACAATACATACGGACGTATAGGCTTAACATCAATACCTCATACAAAGTGTTAAACGCTACAACTCGTAATTACCAACATTTATATTCTGTGGTCGTTTTACATGTTTGTCTCCATAAAGGATAGAGGGATGCTGAAGTACTACATTTACGTTATAAAAATTATCATTAAAAAAAATACTTAAACACCATAATCATAGGTGTGATGTTACTAGCCACAGCCGTCGCATTACTAGTTAATAACCCGGTGTTATGACGAAAAAGGCATCCCTGCCGTAGAAGGCATGCCTGTCTCTAAATGACCGATTGGTCGCTGATCTGAAACGAGTTGAGCTACTTTGTCGAGTAAGGCTACCGTAGTGCTAATCAATAGCCCCCCAAAACCCGTAAAATTATAACCCTAACCCCCAAAAAAAACCTCTAAAACCCTAACCCCCAAAACACTCCTAAAAAACCCCTGACCCCCAAAAAACCCTTAAAAGCTCAACTCGACGGAACACCGACATGCATTCTAAGGCAGGGATGCGTTTTTCGGCATAACACCGGTTTTGCCGAGTCTCCCGGAACACTGATCTGTCCAGTAAGGTAGATGGACCCATGGATGGACCCACACCATACTGCATCGGACCTCCACCGCCGTCACCCTAAACGTACCAAAGTCTTACCGAATCCCCAACGATCAAACTCACCGTCGTAATGTCAATGGGAGTAATTGTCGATTTCCTCCCCGGCGCTTCACCGTCATTCACACTCACAGTCATTTCCAGGTGCAATTCCGACGCGTACTCGGCGGCCTCGCTAATAAGTTCACTTATCTCTGTCACGGCGGCTTTAGTTATTATATCCAGAATGGAGGATAGCTGTGTTTTCAGACTGATGCAGGTCTGCATTTCCAAGCGATCGGACTCACTGCTGACAGAAGCCCCTATATAACACTGTTGCAACCGTAACTCGCACCGTTGTAAACTACGATGTTGACAATGGCCGAGCAGTTCGCAGCTTTTCTACTGGTCGCCGGAAATGCGCGTCGGAAGAGCCTTGTATTTATGTAATCCTCTGTAGTAGCGCCCCCTAACGCAGCATGCTAGCATCAAACCCCTTTTCGGTTGTGTGGTATTCCACCACATCCGGAGCTGGCGTGTAACTTTTTAAATTTAAATTTAATTTAATTTAATTTTAAGGATTTGAAACCAAAGGCGGAACTAGCTGGGCACACTCATTAAGATTAATTAAAAAAATATATTTTAATAATACCGAATTTGTTCTTCCGCATAACTACTGTACAGTGTTCAGTACGACTGAATGTGTGAGCTCTCCCCAGTGGTGATCTTTAGGTAGGACATTGCAGTCGTCACTGTATTTTTGTTGCGGTCACGGTATTGTAAATATCTGAGCTTGTTTAAGAAAACGTGCGGTAATAAGCTTAACTCAGACCGACCCAGATTTAATCCAGGTTCATCCATGAGCCACTTTCTGTATCTGCAACTGCAATGTTTTGGTTGTTTTTGCAGATAACCAGTAAAATTAACTTATTTTCAGAATAACAGCTCTTTTAATCAGGGCCACCTATAAGGGTGGAGAATGGGCAAGACTTTCAGAGGTCTGTACACTGGTGTGGGCCCATGATGGTATGGATTATGGTAGCTTTGTTATGGAGAAGTGGTGCCCTCTCTATAGAATTTTTCATAATCAGCACTTCGTGCTTTGTGTATATATATCCTCCTGAGACCCCATCCATTCATTTATGTCCATTGTAGTGGACATTTTGTTTTTGCATCTATCTTTTCACTGATGTAAAGAAACATATTTATTCCTGTTGTACACTAAAGAGGACATGCTGTGAAATTAAAAATAAAAATAAATTTGAAAAAATTTAAATTGTAAGATGTTTTATTTCCTCCAAAGACAAATAACCTACAATTGAAGGACACTTTTTTCCTTGGGTTTCAGGAGGATATATATATTTTTTTTATTAAAAATGCACTGATTGTATCAGTTACGAGTATCGGTCATCTCACTGTCGGAGGTGTAAAGTTACTGTACTTAAATAAGTTTTTTCAAATTTATATGTCAGTGGCCTAATGGTAGGGAAGAGCATTATGTGATTGAAAGGTTGCTAGTTTGTATCCTTGATCAGCAAAGTACCATTGAAGTACTGTGAGCCAAGTACTGTCCCCAGACACTGAATTAACTGCCCACTACTATGTTACATATGGGTTAAATGCACAAGACAAATCTTGTTGCGGTGTGTCAACAATGACAATTTTTCACTTCATTTTCATTTGAGAATTTTAACCAGGTCGGGTTCCCCCAGTTCTGGCAGAATAAATTTCCATGACTTTTCCAAAACTTTTCCAGTACCACAAGAAAATTTTCCAAAACCCACAAGTTTGCTTTGATTTGATGATCATGCAGTTTGATAGTAATTGTCCTGCCCCGATCGTCCGCTCCATCCGTGTGCCACGCCCCCTCGTTAACCCCGTGTGATCAGTTGTTTCTGGTTTTTATTAGCTCTGTATTTCGTCCGCGTCTCAGGCCTTGTCCACACGTACACGGGTATATTTTAAAACGTACCTTTTTCTATACATCTTGGGCTTTTGTCCATACATAAACGGTGTCTCAGGTCACTGAAAACGGAGCTTTTGCAAAACTCCATCCAGGGTTAAGATGTTAAAAAACTCCATTTTCAGTGTCAACATGTAGACAGGACATGCTGACAGGACTTCTTACATGTGTACAGATAAATGTTGAGTCACTATTGTATTATATTGATCAAAACAGGCGCCATGGTTTTCACCTTAGGACTGGCAATTAGGTTTCTGATTGGCTAACATGGCAGTACGGTTAGAGTTATAATACCGCCTGTTTTGGCATGCTTTTGACAGCGCATTTGAGCGGTTTCATGTGGACGGAAATTTTTTAGAATACAATGTTCGTGTGGACAGGGATTTTTTTTTAAACGGAGGAAAAACACCGTTTTAAAATATACCTGTGTACGTGTGGACAAGGCATCAGTTTGTTTCCCCAGTCCGGTCATTGTATTGTCCGTCTGTGTTTTGCCTGCCTTACCTGTAATTAAACCCCATATTCCCCGATACCCTGACATCTGTGCTTTTGTCTCCGTCCTGTCCCCGCTCGGCACGACAATATTATTATAATTAAATGTATTAATGATTTATTGTTAATATTAAAATAAGAAATCTATTTTTAAATGTATTTTATTATATAATAATTACTGTTACTGTCTATCATTGTCAATGCATTTTTACTGTCTAAATATATGTATTCAGTTAGTGTAAACATGCACGGTGCTATCACAGCGAATGTGAGGCTGAGACTGAAGCTTTACCCTTTGTTTCCACTGAGAGATGTGCCACATGACTCATTTCCCTGCGGGTACAAGTTATCTTAGGTCGGCATTCACGGTTTGACTTCTGAGATTCAGATCAAGCTCTAGGTATTTTTTTCAAACTGGTTGGTTCAACTTAAGAAATTCGAGTTCCAATTAGTTTGAGAACCGAGGTACCACTGCATTTATCTCTTGTATAGCTTTATTTGACAAAAAATGTGATAAAAGCCTTTAGAAACAAGGTATTAAACATGGTGTATAAAATACAGTACTATACTTTTCTGCCAGTCTGTTACATATTTGAGCCAACCAGTTAAAAAACCATTTCTAAATACTGCAAGGCAATCAAAGGACTTTACAAAGCATTACACTGCTATTTGTTTACAGGGCGTGCACACTTGGGGGACCCGCATTCCAAACAGGCCAGGACATTATCTGCGACTGCGCTTGCATTCGAGGAGCTGGCCCACGAGCCGCTTCTTGAGCATACGCAGTTTGCTGCCATAGTGGCTCTGCAGCTCGGCACCTAGTTGGCTTCGCCAGCTGCGCAGACAGAGCTGTGAGCTGCAATTGGGCACGTTCAGCAAGTCGTGGAAAAATCTCATCCAAAGCTCGCTGTGTGGGTTCCTACAGAGTCAAAGGGAGGGAGACTTGTGAGTCTGTACAATTCACATCAACCATGGCGATGAATTCTTAGGGAATGGGGAAACAAACGTACCTCTTAAAATTCCCATTTGTCATCCACACTCCATTTTTGTTCTTCACATTCATGTAAGTTCCAAAAATCAAGCAGTGAACAGTGCCAGCAATTCCAAAGTAGTCCGTCTGAAACAGACAATGTCTTCATGAAATTGATTTTGTGAACACAGATGCATCTGATTAGACAAAGAAAAAACAGCCATTATGTGCCAAGACTGCCTGACCCAGCCCCTCAGCCAGTCCCCACCTGGTAATTCCAAGGTCTTCCACTCAACATCTCAGTACACTGGAAGCCCGAGGTCATGCACTTTGCAGTGAAAGCAGTGCCTTCTGGGAAGATTGTCATGTCAATACTTTGCCCAAGGTCAATCAATACCAATCCATGATCCAAATGGTCAGGTTCAAAACACTCGTTATCAAGGAACCTAAAGCAAAAAGAACATGGAACAAAGCCCATCAAGGACGAGACGGCAATTATAGCAAATGAACAGCACAGCGGAATAAGGAGGCTTAACCTGCTCTGATGGCACTCCCTGAAAAGGAGGCAACATAAAACACATCAAACCAGGGGTGATTCAAATGCGGCTCAAGTCACAGTAGGACAGGAGGTAGATGCATAACACCCTGCCCACCTCTCGCTCAGGAGGAAATTGTCAGGCTTGATGTCTGCATGGATGAGATGGACGCTGTGGAGGTGTTCCACAATCTGAATAATACAGACTGCAAAGTACAAGGCAAGTGGCTGGGGCATCACTTTGTCGCTTGTGTTCCTGTACAGGTTCACAGCATTCTGTAGAGGAGCAGAGACCAAAACTATCAGCTACCCCTGCTGCTCAACCTCCTGGGACCTTCGTGTTACATAGCTACGCCAGAAAGGCTGATAAGTCGACATCTATCATGAACCTGTTTTATCCAATTAAAGAGTTCAATTTGTGAGCCACTCAGTTATCAATCACTGTAACAATCTATAGATGAATAGGTTTTCATACTAATTTAGTGCCGACGCAACTGACTGAATCTCCTTAATCCATTGAACATTTATCCAAAACAAACTGTAGCCAAATAGAACCTATCTACCAATGCCAACAAGTACAAAATAGTACGTGTGTTGGCACTGGTGGTGCTAACGGATACAAAGTAGTGCCGACAAATCTGAAATATTTCCATAGACTGGAAAACGAATGTTTTGATGACCAGTTCTTGTTTGCTTTTCTCCTCCTCACTTATTTTTACTAAATTTCTCACAAATGCCAGAAAGGTTGAGTGAGTGCAGCAGCAAGGACAAGAGTCACTATGACTGGCTCGAAGAATGAATGCAGAGCTTATGAAAGTAAACAGACTAATTTTTAAAATATACTAGATAATCTGGAAAAGGAACAATCACTAAAATTGCAAAATTACTAAGATTTCTACTGACAGAATAAATTTTTCTTAGCAAAATTCATTGATGATCACAATGTGATGTCGATAGTAACGTCATACATCTTGCAGGCCTACTTCATTTCAAACTGAGTGACAGTGAAACCCACCAATAGTGTGCCACAGTTGTGGAGCTGGCCCAGCAGCACACTGCCATTGTGAAACATGTGGGCAGAGTACAGACTGCTGAAAAGATGGCGCACGCTGGATGGGAGGCGGCAGTCTAGCTGACTGTTGATGTAGAACTCCCAGGGATTGGCAGGTTTCTGAACCTGAGGAGAGGCACAGACCAATCACCACAGAATAAGTCAATCCACAGCACAATGTGAAGCCAATGGACTGATCAAAACCTCAAGGTAAACACCTTTAAAACAAGTTTCTTAGAGCTGGCAAGATCTCTGGCTTGGTACACTGTAGCAAAGGCTCCCTCTCCAAGGACGCAATCCACCTGAAAAGATTCTTCACCTAGGAATTTAAAATTAGGGAGCTGGTTATAAGTGGCAAAACATCAACTTCCCATATTTCTATAACACTGACACAAACATCTTGTACCATCTGTAGTTTATGCAAGTAGCTTTTCTGCTACAAGATTTGCTGTAAAGCAGGAAGTATAAAAGATCAGTTGTATTGTCACCTAATGTAACAGTGATCTTTGGCGAGATGGTAGGGGCATTGCAGTCCCAGCTGGTGAAGTTGGGGAAGGAGCTGAGCGGAGTAGGTAATGCAGAGAGCAGCCCAGAAATGAGGACTTCATCCCAGGGATCAGACACCAGCTGTGTGGCTGAGAGGAGAGAGAGACTGACTATCTATAAGAAGTCAATGCAAGACATCGCTCACAGGACCGGCATGCTTGGACTGAGAGAGGTACCTTTATGGTTATATGGTTCCGGGCTCATCGGTACATCTTGGTATGGCAAAGGCATTGGTTCTGGGCTCATCGGTACATCTTGGTTTGACAAAGGTGTTGGCTCTGGGCTCATTGGCACTTCCAACTGTGACTTTGTTATTAGTTCTGGGATCTTAGGAAGAACCCAGTCTGACATGACATGTTCTGAGGTCTTGGGAAAAGTACAGTTGGACATGGAAGCATGCTCTGGGGTCATTGGCAGAAAAGTCTTGGACCTTGGGGAACGTTCTGAGCTATTGGTGAAAAGCCAGTCTGGCTTGGGGAGGACATCTGACACAGAGCTGTAATCTGAATTCTTGGGCAGAACCAAACTGGAGATGGGGGCAGCCTGTGTCTTTTTGGGTAAGTCCCAATTGGACACGGGGGCTTCTCTGGGACTTGTAGGATTTACCATGCCTGACATGAGTGTGCACCCTGGATTTCTGGAGAGAAACCAGTGAGGCTCAGGGACAGAAACCAGGCCTGGACTTATGCAGACATCCCAATCTCCCTGAGATCCATGCATGGCGATTGCTGACGAAGTAGCATGGTCGGAGCCAAAAGTCTGCTCTGGGAAGGACAGCGCAGCAGGCAGTGGCTCAGCAAGAGAGCAAGATGCCAAGGTGTGCTGCACAACGAGGATGGTGCCCTGGGCGCTGCAGGACCCAACCAATGACAGTGGGTCCTTTTCCTCAGGGGGACTCTCCTCCAGAATAGGACTGGGGGTAGAGCATAGAGTGTCAGCACCTAGACACAATACACTGACAACACAGTCAACATTGGTTACGGCATGACAGTGAAGAGCTGGCATCTCAGTACCTGAGTTTGTTGGACAGACGCTGAGAGGTCTTTTCTTCAGAGCCAAAGAAGACTGTATGGTGGCCATTTTCTTCATCAAAAAGAACCAGAGAGAAAGAAAGTCAGTCCAAGGCACCTTACTGCACTACCAAAAAACTTTATTTAAAAAAAAAAAAAAAAAACCTTAATTACCCTCATCTGTAACTGAGCTGCAGGAGTGAGAACTAACTGGATGGAAAGGGGTAGAAACCAGAGGAGCAAGAAGGGCAAAATCCCCAGTGGTGTTGGGACAGGCAGCCAGGGTGTTGTTGTAACGTGGACCCCACACCGTGCTATCATCTGTCATGGACTCCACACCGAAAGGAACATCCTGGCATTGTGGTGATACTGACTGTTAGCAAACACCTCACTGAAACTCACTGAGGAGCCAACTTTAGAACATCAGATGAGGTTTCCAGCATTTATTTACATTTTGTTTCACCACTTTAGATACAGGTATCTCCACCAGCACTCGTGCTTGTTGAGCTTTCTCTGCCCCAAAGGGTATCCTATGAAAACAGACGAAGCAATGAGGATCTGAGGATGTTGGTGAGACAAGGAGCACTAAACATTACTTAAATGTAGGACGTACCCCTCATTCTCATTCTTGTCATTTTCATCCTGGAATATGGCAAACGGGACAGCAACAGGATTTTTTCTCAGTGCTGCGGCATTTATCACTGGGAGACACAAAATTAGCTCCGGTTAGCTGTTCTATTAGGCCACACCCACTATTCACATCCCCAGCATCTCTCCCTGCTCTGCGTGCCACTCATTGGCTGGACAAGTACCTCTAAAGCTGTCCTGCAGTGCATCTCGACATGTACCATTGAAGGGGCCATCCTGGACGAAGGTCGGGGCTTGGAACATGTCCATGATCACACCTGGAAGCCGTGGTGGGATGTGGATATGAGTTTGATGGTTTCTTATATCCGTGCTCGTGGTTTCTGAAATGATCCCCCCTTCCAACCCACCATAAAGAGCACCAACTCTTGACCCCTAATGTGAAAACAGTCCAAAATCACCTGTCCTCTACTGTAAAAAAGCTATTAGGACCAAAACAGGTCAACCAAGTAAAGAAAGGGATAGGGGATGTTAAGAGGTTCCCCAAAGCTCACCCAGGGCCTCACGGGTGTTGACGGTGGGGGATGGTTGTACTCTGGATGGCGTGGACTGGACTGGTCCGAAGCATGTGTTGGGAGTTACACAGGAGTCGTTCCTAGTCCCCCCATGTGACACTGTGGGACAGGAACACAGACTGAGAAACATGTGCAGAGAAAAATTGAGAGCAGGAGGCTGCCATCAGAAATACAAGGAAACAGGCCATGAAAATGAAAACTCACGCTCACAGCTGTTAACCATTCCCGGGTCGTCATTCTGTGAAAAATCTCTGCAAACAAATGCAAGCAGTTTCAAAATACAAAGGATAAAATATGAAATAGAATAGACTGGAAACGGCCGATGCTTACAGCTCTCTCCTGCTGTCCTGGGAACATGTGCTAGGAGGTTGGCTGACAGAGTCAGTCAGGCCCGAGCCCACGTCTTGGTTATATGGCCTGCCAACTGGAGCACGTAAGCCCAGATTTCGGTTGGACATCCTGTCTAGCAATGGTAAAGCCATAGGAGCTTGAGATGGGAAGAGGGGCAGAGTTTTTGAGACACTCTCCTCGGTTTCCTTTGGTGGCAGCTGGAAGGAACTCTCAGGAGCAGGACTGGCTGCAGAGCGGGCCACATCCTCCTCCATAGAGCACATCGGCATAGACTGGATACAGCTATAACTGGAATACTCAGCAGGAGTGGTCACAGGGAAGGGATCGCAGGATTGAGTGCACTGCAGCTGGGGTGCTGCGTGTGGCTCAAGACTGGCTCCGAATGCCACGCTGCCATTTACACTCTCATTGAGTAAGTGGGGGTGCACCATGGTCTTCTGGAGGGTAGCAGGGAGCGGGCACTCTGCCAGGGTATGTGATTCCTGCAAAAAAAAAAAAAAAGACATTAATCAAAACAGGAGGATGTCTCTCCCCATGAAAGACCAGAGGCCACAAAGACTCTGATCTTCTCAGAGAAGGTGCACCACTGAGACTGGTTAGATTGTAGTGGTTTTTACCAGAGGAGGGTGCAGGTTGCCCGCTTCATATGTAGCTAGGTGGTTCTCCAGCTCTGTTAGGCATTTCTTGAGCTGCTTCACCTCTTCCTCTTCCTCCTGAACTCGCCTTTGCTTCTCCTCTGCCAGACACAGGGAAGGGTTCAGCTGGCCTGTTCAGTGAGCTGCATCCATCGCCAGCAACCAGTACCCACAACTGGTGTGACCACTAAGCCACACATGGGAACCAGCACAGCTGAATTTTTCAGGCCAGGGGTGGGCAACTCCAGGGCTAGGGCCAAGCTGATTTACACTCCTATGCTCTTATCTGCACCCGATTAGCTACTGTCTGAATGAAATTGCATGTTTACATTAAACCAAACAAGTCCTCTTACTATTCTGCATCATTCCTTTTCTATTGTTTATATCAGAACACATTTTCTCAAACAGAATGCTATAAAAGAATCAACCAATTGCTCAGTCAATGCAAAATATTAGGACTAAAACATATCCTAACATATCCTCTAGTCCAGGTGTCTCAAACACAAATGAACTGGGGGCCACTGTGTATGTGCCACTTGTGAAATCACACACACAAAAAAAAGTTTCCCTAAATTTTAAATTCACCTATAAAAAGGGCCTCTTATTTTTCTCAATTAAAGGAGAATACAATAGTACAAAGTAGAAAAGAAATGTATTGTGGTAATATTAACATGTGCTGAAAATTCTGAAAGTGCTGATACACAAACTGCAAGCATTTCACCAAGTTCTATATTGAAAATCACTAATACAATTGGCAGCACTATGCACTTTTCCTTTGCATAAACATTAAAATGTTGCCGACACCTATGTAAATATATGAAAACTATCATTTCCTTAGAGTTCAACTATTTAATGACCTTCAAACAAGTACAAATCATGCCATTACATTGTTATGCTGGAAAATCCATATAACTGGTCTAAACTGTTCAATTTTAAGAATATATAAACATACATGGAAATCATTCTTAGCAAATAGGCATTCAACTAGCTCTGAGGCAGAGGTAAAAAACAAAACAAAAACAAATTGCCATCCCCATTACACCATTGACAATGTGTAGTGTTTTTACAAGAGGAGGAAACAGGCTTTCGATTTACATTGACAAACTATTAGCAAGTTAGACAGACAAACCATGACATTTTCCTCCATTATGAAGTTCCAACATCATGCACCGAGCTAAAAGTTAACCTGGCATTTGCTAATGGGTGATGGAGGATGGGTGAAGAATAAAACCAAAATTGTGACCACATCAGACTAAGTCCTCCTAAAAGGCTGGGAAAAAAAACTCCAGAGTGCTGTAACTGTCTTCCGTCATGTTTTTTTACACAAAACAAACCCATGTTGCAATCCCACCCTCCGGAATTGGCCATCCAACTGCCATAGCAAGGTGTTACGTGGGTGTCCTCAGCAATGAGGATCCTGCGAGCAGGATAACCCTCAGGGAAATGCGCCACATGGCCGTAACTGACGCTCCCTTACAATGCAGGTAATGTGCCTCATTCAGGACTCCTCTAGCAACCGCTCATTCGACACAAAGTCAAACCAGCAGTATCCAAGGATTCGCCAAAGAGACACAGTACCAAAGGAGTCCGGTCTTCATCTCAGGTCACTGGATAGCATCCATATAGCAAGACAGGGAGTACCAGGACTCTAACGACTTGGACCTTCGTCCTCTTGCAATGATATCGGGAACACCACACACCCCTTTCCAGCGACCTCATGACCCCCCATGCTCTTCCAATCCGTCTACTGACTTCATAGGAAGAGTCACCAGAGACATGAATGTTGCTGCCGAGGTAGTTAAATCTGTCGATATGGTCGACATTCTCCCCGCAGACAGACACACTACTGATGGCTGTGCCCAAGTAGTCATTAAAATGCCTGGATCTTGGTCTTTAACCAGGACACCTGCAATCCCAGACACTCAGACTCCTCGCTCAGTCTCTCGAGAGCCCCGATCAGAGCCTCCATTGATTCCGCAAAGATCACAGCATTGTCGGCAAAGTCAAGATCAATAAATCTTTCTTCACCAAAAGATGCCCCACAGCTAAGGATGTCCCACAGGGCAACTCGATCAACTGAGTCGAACGCTTTACGAAAATTGACAAAGGCTGCAAAGAACCTCTACCGATATTCGTGCTTGATGAGAACCCTCAGTGGAAGGATACGGTCAATCGTAGACTTCTTAGGCGTAAAACCAGACTGCTCCGGTCAATGACAGACAAGCAGGTGTTTACGGATCCTGTTAAGGATGACCCTAGCAAGGACCTTACCTGGCACTGAAAGCAGCGTTATGCCCCTCTAGTTGCCACAATCCAGGGGATCACCCTTCCCTTTCCAGATAGGGACCATAAGTCCCATTTTCCAGTCAGTTGGGATGATGCCTGACTCCCAAATGGAAGCAAACATTGCCTGCAATGCCAGGAGGACAGCCTTACCACCAGCCTGGAGAAGTTCACCCCAGATACCACACATTCCTGTGGCCTTCCCCAGCTGATTCACCAATCATGCAATCTCAGTGAGATTGGGTGGTTCACAGCTGTTCGGAGGGTCAGCTTCAAGAACCGTGGACCCAGAGATGTCCAACATCCCAGCCAGAGGGTCAGCTTTAAACAACTGCTCGAAGTAGCTGGCCCAGCGGGTCACAACTACAGTGTCATCCGTAAGGATCACTGCTCTAGCCCACTGTTTATAAACCCAGTTCTCAGGGACCCCCAAACAAAATCGCTAACGAGCTGGAAGGGAGCAAAAATGAGGCCCCTCTAGCAGGGAACAAAAACGGACTGCATGCCCCCCCCCCCTAGGACTGCACTTCGCTGCTCTAGCCCATGAGACCCCAGGCTGAAGCGAGCTAGTGTTAATCAACCTTTAGGTACTGGTCACTGCAGCTCAGATAAAGCAGGGATTTGGGGAAGGCGGGCGATTGTGTACCCATCTCTCTCAGCTGCTTCTTCTGTTGGCATTTATCGAAGTAGCGCTGGGCCCTGAGCTCCTCGAAGCACAGCTCGGAGCCCTCAGACACCAGATCGCTCACGCAGTACATGGACACACAAGGCAGGCTCTGCGTGGACGCCTGGCCAGGGCGACTTGTCGTTGCATATTCCGACCTGGAGATTCTGCAAAAGTAAGAGAATCCCTTGGAAAAGTAAGGAGGATAACATACAGCACGAACCCTGGACAAAAGAGCCACGGCACAACAGACACAAGAGGTAAGAGTGTCTCACATGCAAACTGTTCGGTCTTCTGGAAACTGGGCCACATCTTCAGAATTCTGTTATAAGACAGACAAAATCTCACATCCAAGAATCTCTTCAACATAGACTGAATAAATTATGAAACATCCACACAGCACTTTATGAAACAAAAATTAATGCCCAATACAGCCACCCCCCAGGGCATGCTGGGATGACAAAACGATCACAACACCTTGGACTGTGGGGCCTCCCTCTGCCGCTCCATTTGATTAGTCAGCTGTGAATTCTGAAGAGGATTCCGCACACCACCTGACAAGACAGAGCTTACATTAACCGACTGGGTGTCCAAATCATTCAAAATATTCTCTCCAGAAAGAGACCTTACCTGTAGCTCCGCCCTGAGTCTGAGACACCCTGGATTGGAAGAGCCTAGAAGGAAAAACCAGCAGCCAGTGAGAAACCATTCATTATGATTAAAAACGGGCTGGTATGAAAAAGCTGAGGTCTGTGAGCAGACACATGCTTACTGGTATTGCCGCATGACCTCCTCAGTTGGCAACGCCTGATTCTCTATGGCCCTTTGGTACACAACATCAGCCTGTGGAACCCGGCTCTGTCTTTCAAACTGCTGCGCCCAAGCGATATACAGGGCAGCCGATCTTATGCCGACACCTTCACTGTGTATGTAGCTGTATAGGTCAATGGGCTCACTGTAATAGCTTGCCTATATTTTAGAAAACAAATTCCCACAGAAAAGGCTGAGGTTAGTAAGTTAAAGGTTTATTTAGTAACTATATACATTTATCAGCGGGGATAACTGACAAAAAATGTAATTTTGAATTGAGAAAAATTGTGAACAATACCAATTGGAACCTAGACTTACACATTTTATGCAGAGGTTGATGTATCTAATGTCATTGTGGTATTGCTTTTGGGGAAGAAATATCTGAACCAGCCGATCCAGCACTAAAAAAATATCATTACTTTCCTTCTCCAAAAGCTGCTTCTCTAGGAACCCGACATACCTTGACATGAATAAGACAGAAGACATGTAGTTAGTCATGCTTTATTATACATATAATTATTATAAATTACACAGGGCATTCATGGATCATTTACCTCTCCCACAGGTCAAGAGGATCATCCCCAGTGTAGTTACTCAAACTCGCCTCAAATTTCCTGAAAGGTAGACAATCCATTTACATTTATGTGTCATCAGCTATCCATCGATTCATCCAGGCTGGAGCCTACTGTAGGCAGTATATGACATAAGGCACCTGTACACTCTGGGTGGGATGCCACACTTTATAGATGAAAATAAGATTAACTGAATGCCTTTAGACTGCAGGAGGAAATAAAGTACCCAGAGAAAACCCGGATGACACGGGCAAAACATGCAGTCTACATCACTGCCAAACCATTTCAACAATTCTGCATACCAATATTATACAGGTTTAGGCATAAGAACAAACATGAGCAGCATGGTGGTCCACAGTAAATTTCAGGTTAAATGCTTATGAAACGTTCCTGAGCACACCGCTTCGTACCCTGACGGAGCAAGGGACATCTGATTGTATCCTGATTATATCCACGACAGAGGAAAGGATTCACTGACAGAGCACCATAATTCCACCTACTGACGGCTTCAAATAGTCGCCATGCCAGTCATTAGCTTTCACTGGAATAAGTCGGATTACATTACTAGACGGAGGGTCATCTTAACTCCTTCCAAACTGTCAGAACTCTAACAGAGAAAATGTATTACTTTGCTGTCAGATGCGAGGTATAAAATGGCATTTCAGTAACTTCAGAAGCAGCCGTGTTCGTCTCAGCTCAAACCAGAAATCTCCGATTAAGTATCAGCTGCTGTGTGACGCGTAAAACTTTGCCTTTAAATTCATATAATATGCTGGTGTTTCACTTCTTCGCATGACAATTCAGTAAAGGCAGCAGACAGCCCGTCCTTATGGACAGATAAGACCTCATCAAAAATTATTTAAAAATTAAACCCTGATAATACATACTCATAACTCGTTAAACCTTAAGCGCATATAAAACCAAATTAGCAGGTAACGAATGTACAAAAATACGGTTACTCGACATGCAGCATAATGAAAAAAACAATGACTGATAATTACTAGACAGCAAGTTAGCAAAACATGTTAAACATTACAGTATTTAGTAGGTTATTATTTTCTAAATGTATTTTAGATATTATTTTCGTAGTTTGTATGCTAGCCGGCTATCCGCCCGCTATGTGTTCTCTTGTTATTAGAAGAACGGCCGAAAACCTACTGTAAGGATGTGCGAATGTCCATTATGTATATACTGACGACCCCCTCCTTCTTCGTAACACGGAATTATCATTAATTTTACAGTTAATGCCCGAAACTGAAAAATACTGCTTAACGCTAGCGGGTTGTTTTTAAAACGTTAACTAACCAATGTACCGCACCGCATTTCAAATTTCCTTCGCTTAGCCAATGAGACGAGACTTCAGTGCAGTAGCCAATAGGATCGCTAGGATCGCCTGCTGCACATCTTTAAAGCGAAACCCTGAGTCAGGCATAATGACGGACAGATTCCAGAGGAAGCTAAATGAAGCATACAAGCGCATTTAAACTTTCCGGTAAATGGTATGAAGGAGTACTAGTATAAACGGACTGAGCACCTGTGACAGTGGAATCTGCTTTTGCTTAATATTATTACTATATGAAATACAAAAAATCGACAAGTTACGTTTTGATACGGGTGTGTGAATGTGTTTTGCGCAAGAATTTCTTAGTGTCTGATACGTAGAATAGGATTTGTGCATTTGCAATTAAGAAGCTGAGAAGATGTAACGTGTTGTGTTTGTGGGAGAGAAGAAAAATCCTGTAACTTGTTTTTGGACTGTATGTAGGGTGGAGTAAAACAGGTGTTGTGCCCTAATCTGCCCCCCTGCCACGGATTGCATCCCCTGACGTCATCGCTCCATTTAAAGGCAAAGTCGCTTCTCCAGCGCAGCAGAAGCGAACGCTCGCTGTAAATTTATTTTCTTGCCCTAAACCGACTGAGTAAACTCAAATTAGTTGTTTATTATGCCATTTTACAATCAAACCTTAAGTTATCATTCACAACCTCCTGTAATTCGTCACAAATGTGACTAACTTTTTCATTAAGACGCTACAGTAATGCTTAATTGTTTTCTTATTGATTAAAAACAGTTATTGAGATTTTTTTTGTCGGAGGGGGCCGGCTTTATTATGTGCTAACAACCTGCTGGTGGACATAAAACACCAGCGCCTGGTTGATGCCAGGACTTTCCATTCGGTGCTGTGCTCACGAAGCAGGGCTGGTTCGTCTCAGCTGTCTAGCGCCTTGGCGGCCAAAGTGGAGGCCATCTCTGCGTTTCCGCAGCCTGCTACAGCCAGGGCCCTGCAGGAGTTCTTGGGCATGGTTACTTTCTACCATCGCTTTATTCCACGGGCCGCCCAGTTGATGTGGCCGCTGTATGAGGCTCTCAGGAGTAGGACGGTCAAGCAGGTTCTTGAGTGGACTGCTGAGCATACCCAGGCTTTTGTAGCTACCAAGTCTGCTCTGGCAAACGAGACCATTCTGGCCCACCCATTGTCTGGTGCTCCGATCGCGCTCACCACTGACGCCTCGGACTATGCTGTGGGGGCCATGTACGAGCAGTTTGTGGATGGTGCCTGGCAGCCGCTGGCCTTTTTTCAGCCGACAGCTCAGGCCACACGAGCGGAAGTACAGCACCTTTGACCATGAACTTCTTGGCCTGTACTTGGCTGTGCGTCACTTCCGGTTCCTCATAGAAGGCTTCCCAATCACGGTTTTTGTTGACCACAAGCCCCTGACGTTTGCGATGGCTAAGACATCGGAGCCTTGGTCTGCTCGTCAGCAGCGGAAGCTCTCCTTTATATCGGAGTTCACGACTGACATCCGGCATGTGGCAGGGAAGCATAACCATGTTGCGGACTGTCTCTCCCGCTCGGTGGTAGGTGCTGTACACTTAGGAGTGGATTATGCTCTATTGGCAGCGGATCAGCGGGTCGATCCAGAGGTGCAGGCATATAGGACCGCAGTCACCAGTCTGCAGCTGGCTGATGTTCCCTTCCTTGACTGTGGTGTCCACCCTCCTGTGTGATATCTCAACCGGTCTGGCTAGGCCTATCGTGCCGGCTGGTTGGCGTCGTCACATCTTCGAGGTGGTGCACGGGCTTTCACACCCAGGCAGACGAGCGTCTCAGCATCTGATGGCCGCCAAGTTTGTCTGCCATGGGCTGTGAAAGGATGTCCGTAGTTGGGCTGCCTCCTGTGTTCTGTGTCAGCGTGCTAAGTTGCACCAACATACCAAGGCACCGCTGGCGCCTTTTGTGGTGCCTGAGCGCCGTTTTGACCACGTTCATATGGACCTGGTTGGGCCTCTTCCCCCTTCCTTGGGCTTTACTCACTTGCTAACGGTGGTGGACAGGTCTACTTGGTGGCCAGAGGCCAAACCTTTGTCATCCACCACCACGGCGGACGTGGCCAGGGCTTTCATCGGTGGTTGGGTGTCCCGTTTCGGGGTTCCATCTGATGTGTCTTTGGACTGTGGAGCCCAGTTCACCTCTGAGCTCTGGGCTGCAGTGGCCCAGGTTTTGGGGGTTTCCCTCCATCGTACCACAGCCTACCATCCGCAGGCCAATGGGCTGTGCGAGCGTTTTCACCGCTCCCTGAAAGCTGCTCTTCGGGCCAGCCTCAGGGACGGCGGCTGGGTGGACAGGCTTCCCTGGGTTTTGTTGGGCCTCCGGACCGCTCTCAAGTCAGACCTGCAATCCTCCTCGGCCGAGTTAGTCTACAGGCAGACTCTGTGTGTGCCAGGGGATTTCCTGCCCATCACCACAGCCCCTTGGTGCGCTGAACAGCAGCGTTCTGCTCTGCGGGACTTGGCTGGGGTTTTCGTTCCAGTACCCACGACTCAACATGGGGTGCCCCAGACACATGTTCCAGAGGGTTTGGCCGGGGCTGCATATGTCTTCGTCCGCCATGATGCTCATCGGGGCCTGCTGCAGCCGCCTTATGATGGGCCCTTCCGTGTGCTACAATCTGGGGACAAGTTTTTCACACTGGACATTAGGGGCAAGCCAGACCGGGTTTCGGTGGACCGTCTGAAACCTTCCCATTTGGACGTGGACACCCCAGCAGTGCCCCCCCCCTGCTGCTGTGCGTGCACAGGGGACTGCTCCGGCAACAGCTGGGTGCCCAGCCTCCCAGCCTATTGTGACTCGTTCTGGTCGGGTGGCCTGGCCTCCCCGCAAGTTGGACTTCGCAAGTTGTTTGTGAATTCTGGGGGCGTGTATGTAGGGGCTCCTACCTTTTAGACAGAATTCATTCTCTCTTACCTTTTGCTCATGCGTGCAGGGTGTGGTTGACGCATGCCCAAGCGGGGATGCGGATTCTTTTTGGGTTTTAGGCACGCTGAAATAAACATGCTTGTTTTTGGCGCTCTGCTTGTCTTGACTGCCTTTTTCGTTTTTTCTGCTGCACCGCAGCGCCATAACATTAAGTTATACATTTGGCTATATAGTTAAATTTTAACTCCTAAACATCGCAATGTGATTTTTTTTCTGGTATCGTCAGCCGTACTCAAAACACACGCTTAAAAATGTATTGGTTATTATGTGCACGCTACTTCAACACCGGAATGGCTGAAAGCTGAACAAAACATTTTGCGTTCGGGGAAAAACAAAACAACGTGAAACTAAAGCTACGAGCGTGTGTGAAGCCATGTGTGGAAGCAGGCTTACTTAAGTATTCGTGGTATTCACTGTACTATTAGTTTGTGTCGTAATATTATTAGGATAAATGTACCGTAGCGCCGGGCAGACCGGGGCAGTGCGTGAGCAGCAAAATAGGAGGAGACTTCTTTTTCGGGGAAGAACACATTCTTTTAGTCCTTAACAGGTTATGTGACAGGCACCCAATAAGCACCGAACCAAACACAATAGCAGAAACACAAGGAGATCAGATGCCGAAATATAAGATATACACATAATACAGGAATTCTGTACAAAGTTAAGGACACGCATAAGACATGAACAAACATACACGCCACAATCGGGAAATACAGCTATTATCAACAATAAATATATAATCACCCTGCTGGCATATACTGTCCCTTCCTCAGAGGTCGACTGTCCTGGCGACCACCACCCCCAGACCCCACATCAGTTACGAAGCAAGTCCCTGGTCTGGTGGCAGCCGTTGGTCCGTTGCTTTCAGTGATGGGGCCATTAGCCCCCTGATCACTGGCATTGAAGCTGCTGGTGGGCGCTGGTGTGTCAGATCCCCCCAGCTGCCGACCCTTCTTTTTATGTGGCTTAGGTGGATCTGGTAGCCCTTCCAGGGGGTCCTCCTAGCCAGGGAACTCCACTTGGCCCTGGCCCTTACTTCTACCACACTTAGTGGGACCCTGATGATGTGTGGCATGATGGTTCTGCCGCGGGCCCTCTCACTCACAGGGTTGGGCGGCCCTGCACAGTTGCTCCTGCACTGCGACACGGGTAGCTTCTTGCAGACGTGTGAAGCAGGCCTCCTCCCGCCGCTCATGGAGGTCCGCCATCAGCTGGGCCTACCGAGTGAGACACGCCTCCTCACGGTCCTGCACCGTGGCCTCCCCCAGTTGGTGGTGCTTCTGGGCCAGCAGCGTTTCTAAATTGCGACACACCTCCTCCAGGCCAAGCAGCGCCATCTTGCAGCCCTGGAATGCTGTCTCCACTGCAGAGGGTGCCTTCTTCGCTCCGGCATCCCCTGCTCATCTGCCAGCAGCTGTAGTGTGGGTTTCTGGGCAGTGGCGTGCCTAGTGCCCTTATGTTCTGCAGCACCAGCAGACAAGCTTTGTGTCCCTAGTCATCCTCCTCATGTGCCACCACTTCTCAGCTGCCTCGAGGTCTGTCAAGCTGGAGCAAGCTTGCTGGATAATTTTTTAGAGCGCCCACTCCAGCCGCACCATGTTATCCCCAAGTTTGTGTGGATTATGTAAAACAAAGGTTCTTCGTATTCTCAAACACGGGCAAAAATACCATTGTCACCAAAAAGTGCATATCATGTACTTTAAACAAAGAATGTAATAAATACAATAGCATATCAATTTAAACATGATATGCAACTTAATTTTAAGGAAGAAATTTGGTGGATGTGACAGAATGGCTGAGCCCGAAAGATGAACCTGTGGCTGTTCTTCCCTGGCTTGATCCAAGGAATTAGAGGTGGATGGTCCAAGCCCATTACCCCTGGGACCCGTCGTTCCGATTTCTCCTCCTACAACCACTCTGTTGCCAGCTACCGCATCTGCTCTGAGTTATAATGAGCCGGTGGACGCCTTTCACTTGCTCCCCAGAATTTTTCAGGAGGTCCTTGACAATCCCCAGGTGTGGAAGTGACCCAAGGTGGTCACCCTGCTGTACCAGATCGGAGGGGGATCTTCTCAACCTCCACAATGCCTGCTGTGCAGGAATTGACCGGAGCTCTGATGGTGCTGCACTAGCAGGTGAGAGAGGCAACCCTGTCATCCAGCCTCTCATGTCACCCTCTTCCACCGCTGTCTGCCTGCTCTGGAGAGCATTGCCACCTGCTGAGCTCACCTTGCCTGGATCCCCAGGTGAACTTACTGCTGCACTGATGCTCGCAGACACTGCATCTCCCCAAAGCAACACTGCACAACTAGTTCCACTGCATGGCTGCAGATCAGCTATGGAGGCACCCTCAGTCAAATCCTCCATTAGCTCCCATCGTAGGAGACGGAGAGCCAAGAAGTTGCTGAGCCCTGATGTGGAAGTATCCGCTAAAGGAACCAGCCTAGGAGGGTTTTGTCCATAGAAATGAATGGATAATCCCTCAAGGACAAATAAAGTTTTTTGATTTGATTTGAACAAAGGTATGAATACAAACGTGTGTGTGTTCATGCACATGCATGCATGAGGCAGACAGTGGAACTGCTCTAGATGCAACCAACCCAGGTACACACCACTAACTTAATAATTGCCCAACAGCAACTGGACGTACAGCGTCGGATTAGTTTACTATGATTGGTTTTTCCCCTGTGATGAACACAATATGGCCTATCGCATTTTAGAAAAGAAAATTTGCTCTCTGACTTCAAAGTAATGAGTAATGAGAACCTTCATAGAAATGTAGCAGAGTCAAAGGTACAATATGTGTCTTTCAATTGTAGCAGCGTAAAAGTGATGTTTCCAAAAAACAAAAATTGATACTCAAGTAAAGTACAGATAATTGAAAAATCCTTCCTTATCTTCTATGCTAAAAGCTCTTGATAAATCTGCCGCATATATCTTCTTGGTCCTGTTGAATAAAAATTTTATTAATGTCCCATCATGACTGATCATTACACCCAAAAGATTTAATCAATTTAATCAAGCAGTATAAGCAAAATCAACTGTTGTCAACCCTCTTACTGAGGTGTCAACCCTGTTACTTCTAATATAATTTAAAAAATGAAATGACAATTGAAAAAATCAAACTATTTTACAAGTAAGAGAAACCAGTTATCCACCCTAAGACACTGGGGAATTATTATTTTATTACCTTTTCTTAAAAGAGAAGACGTTATTAAAGTGTCACTTGTAAATGAGGATATTTATCCATGAAAAAAGTGAATTCCTTAATATTCTCACTTTAAAACCACATTTAATGTGACAAGGGGGATTTTATCTTTCATTGTATAGCAAATTTGTTCTAAATATTAATTTAAAACCTTTTTAAACAGTTCTTAATATGTCAGTAACAGGGTTGATGAAATAGACATGGATGTTATTTGTAAAGGTACATTTAAAAATGGCCTGAGATGGCACAGAAATTTTTTCTGAGGTAAGGATCTATGAATCCAAAAGGGTCTTTAAAGTATTTTAAAACAGTAATTCAAGGTCAAACATTAAGAGTGGTAAATGGCACATTTTTGTATCATTACCCGTCAGTGAAGCAGTCAAAAATACAGCAACTGTACTTTGTTCTGTAGTTTTCTATTGTTATGCTCTATAACAAAAAGGTAATTTTTCTATGATTTTTAAATTAGACTTCAGTTTGCAGTCCATTCAATTTTGTTGTTTTTTCATGTTCTGCATTGCTTTCAAGCCAGTTCTGAGGGACGTTTAAGCAAAAAATTGAAGCACATACATAACGACTTTGATTCTATTGTGACAATTATTATTTGAAAAAATGCCCGTCGCTCCTATTAGGCAATTTACCAAGAAGGGCCAAGGCAGCCAACATGATGACTGAGTAACTGAGCCACTAATAGTACAATTAATCTGAACCTTTCCAGATAGCATACTCTGTTGCGACGTTTAAAGCACAGATAGACAGCATTTACTTTTTTCATTTATTGTTCACTTTTCATTCAACCACACTATCAAGCAGTCTTTCTCTGTCAAATATGTACACAATACTCCCGACAAACAGTATCACGCGTAATGGCGTCGGTTATGGCCGTCAGCAAGAGCAACATGGTTCACTCTTCCTATTCCTCGACCTTTAAACCATTAAAGCAACTTCCAAACACAAAACAGACGTCATTTCAAGTATTTTACTTTTTTTGATTTAAGTTACAGGGTGGACTAAATTTCCAGAAGAAGAGCTGTTGGTGTTCTGAATGTTCCTGTACCACAGCTATCAGAATGCTACACGCCCCACTCCCCCAAAATGCTGCATCTCCACAATGTATTATCTTTTCAGATAACCCCTCCCTGGATAAAGCTTGGAAGTACCAACATGGCAGTATGACAGATAAAACTGAAGCCCAGCCAGCAGGAGGATGAATATGAGATGGTTAGGTACCCCTTGGTTTTAGTGCATCCTGTGGTAAGTTCTCTGTAGTTGATTGCTTCCCCACCTTTAAATGTTAGCAGCATGCCTTTCAAAGATTGCATAGGATTCGTCAAACCTTCTGATGTCATCAGCACCAACATTCAAGATCTTCCAATTCAGTGTCTTCTTTATTTATATGTGCACTTCAGGCATTCATGGGAAGATACTGTTACCTGGCTCATAAAGCAATCAGCTACGGAAGCCTCCTGCTAGCACTTTCTCTAGTCCCCCCCCAGCTCCCTGTGTCTGCAGCTAACATGAGCTCTGCTGTATTGAAAGGGGCTGCTCTCAGCTCGTGTAGTACCTGCCTTGGTTGAACCCTGCCTGGTTGTACTGATACCCGCCTTGCTGGAAGAACTGTTCAAACTGCCCACCTTGGTTAAAGCTTTGCCCCCCTCGCCCTCCCCAGCCACCTCCCTGTCCACCTCTACCCCCTCTGCCACGGCTTCCTCGCCCACCTCTCCCACCCCTCTCTTGGTGGTGGCCATCTTGTTGGTAACCTCCGCCTCCACCCTGATAGCCTCCACCTCCACCCTGATAGCCTCCACCCCCCCCACCTTGATAGCTCCCCCCACCTCCACCTTGATAGCCTCCTCTTGGGTAATTTGGAGCCTGAAAGCCACCCTGGTAACCACCACCACCATAACCTCCTCTTCCTCCACCTCCTTGATGGCCACCTCCTTCCTGATAGCTTCCATGACCTCCATCTGACCAACCCCCCTGAACCTTGCCACCTTGGCCACCTCCTCCACGCCCCCCCTGGCCACCGCCACCACCTCCACCTCTGCCACCCCCTCCAAACTGCTGTCCGCCTCCTCCCTGGGGTCCATCTTGTCGTTTCTGCCATGGGGGCATCTCTGGGGGGGGTGGCTCAATCTCGTTGGGTCTACCCCCTCGGTCAGGGACACGGCCCATGAGAATCTGATGGGGGAGGGGAGGGGGGTAATCAGCTACTGTAGGTGGAAAGCAATTTCAGTTTAACGCCAATGATTTTAATCTTGACCATTTTCCCAACATAAGGAATACATATTGGTGAATGTTCTGTGCCAAGGTCAGGTGCCACATGACACCCTACCTTGTTGATGGCGCAGGCCGTCTTCTCGCGAATCCTCCCGCTGCTGGTGCGGAGGATTTTGGAGAGATCCTCTCGCGCTGCAAACAGATGGGCCACAGAGACGGTGGTCTTGCTGGCCAATGCCGAACGTAGGGGCTGATACACTTTGCCCAGCTTTTCAGCTTGTGCCTTATGGGGAGTACAAGAGGAAACACAAGCTTGACTTGACCACCAACATTAACATCAATTTACATCAAAGTCACAGTGTTCAGTTCATTGTTGATTAGGCTGTTATGCAAAGCAACACTGGACACATCCAACGGGTGACAAAGACGTCTGTACAATCACAGTCTATTAAATCCATAAAAATGGCCAGTCTTGCTCAAATCAAGCATGAGCATAAATACTAAACAAATGTTACTAGACAAAGTGGCAGCTGTGGTTTATTATGAGATGTCATCATAGTGTTGTATGTCTCACCTTGGCCCTATCTGACCAGCCAAAAGACTGGACAGTAACATCAAGACGTTTCAATAACATCTTTCTCCTCACATCGTATTCATTCACCAGTGCCTGGTTGATCGCTTCAATCTTCTCCTGTACATCAAAACATTTTCCTATTTTTCAGGATGCACACACTATAAGGAATTAATCATATATGTGATACAACAGGTCTTTTCTAAATCATTTGCTAATTATGACTTTTGCGGAGTATGCTGATCTTCCACGATTTACCCAGTGCACTGGTCCCAGTGGCCTCTTCAGCAGTGGTTTTCCGATGTGTGTTGGTGGCACTTTGGATAGGGCTTCTTTCAGCTGGGGACAAAGAGACCAACAGGATCCCATGTAGGTTACCAAGAATGGGGCACAGCCCTCCAGTACTCCGTTTTTGAAACACAAACCTTAGAAGGCTACTTCCTTACCTTCTTCTCTATGCCACTGAAGAATTGAAACATGCTTATGTTGGCGGGGGGCTTTGACATGCCGAGGGCAACACAAATACCCTTCAGCTCCATGAAGACTTCACTACCCCCCTGCTCCTGAACTTGCTTCTGAGGCTGGATTACCAGGATCATCCTTGATGCCTCCAGCTCAGAGATCAGGAATGCTGTGGCAAGAAAAACATTCACAACTGTGAAACAGGCACAGCATAGCTTTAAATACGCAGATATCTGGGCAGATATGCCAGGATCCGTATTGACGGTGTTCTTTGCTTTGTCATCTTAGCTGACACTTTACTTTGGACCCTCACCAAAATTAAGTATCTTTATTGAGAGAATGTCAAAGTGGATTTTGATTTTTTCCTTAATGGGATCATTAACCAGGTGTGAACAATGGTGTACAAAATCTCCAGCTTGCATGGATCAGTCCTGTTCACATACTGAGGAGAAGCAAGCAGCTGTTTCTGTTCAGCAGTCGCTGGGTGACGTCGCCTGTCGTGAGGACCAAGTAGGGGCAAATCATCTCAGACAAGAGGCCACTCATCTCCAGCTGAAACCCGTCTGCTTCGGTGGGACCTGGGAAGACACCAGGGGGATGGCTCGGCTGACCAAAAAGCACACGTGAGACAACAATAGGATAACTATGGAATAGTAAGGCGTAGGTTCAGAAAGTCAAATATTTAAGACCAGGTTAATTCCAAACAGCATCGGCCAGCTATATATCTTTAATATTATTCGAGTATTCAACAAAACACTGGATATAATACAATGTACATTAAACCCTAAAGAGCCTATATGTAGGCAAAGAGCCCCACAGTTCTTAATGGGTGATTTGCATAAATATGTAAGACAGGACTGTCATCAGAGCAAGCTTAGGAAGTCCCAGGGAAGACAGGACAGCACTTCACATGTGCAAAACTCACTGCTCGTGGCGTGAACATTCTCTTCCAGTTTACAATACAGCTTGAGCTCAGTCACAAGCCAAGCACACAGTCCGGTGAATTCCGGGGACTCAGCCCCGGCCGTGACAGCCTTGTCCAGAGCTCCATCGTCCAGTAAGGGACCCTTGTACCTGCAATGAAAAGCCAGGAATCGATAAACGCACTGTAAACAGGACGTTTAGCAAATACATAAATCTGGACGTGACGGAAAACTACTATGACAAACATACGGTCTTTCTATTTAAATTAAAATTTAGACCCGAACCACTGATTCGACTTTACTGCCATCTATTGTTAACTAGTCATTGACTCGTACAATCTGGCCATATAAAGACAACCGGACACGAAAGCAGCTAAAACGGCAACGCAACCTCTAAAATAAGAGAAACCTTTATCTTTATTGTTATGCACTAGAATAATTCACCCACATAAATCAATCACTAATGGAATTAAGAATCGGACAAGACAGCAGCAGGTTAGCTGAACTGCTGACAGCGGATATAGGTACGTACCATGCAGTGCACCAAGAACACGAGAAAGCAGGAAATCACCTTTTGTTTTTCACTTACCCGAGATCTTCCAACGAGTCTAGAATATCGTTTTCCATTTTATAAAATGCTCCTAACAGTCTATTAACATAAAGATTCTAATAAGCCGCATACGTACGAACTTGACGCCACTGCTAAGTTGGCATGTCTAGGTCCAAACCCACCCCCAAAGAACCACTCAGGGTCGGCTTATAATATGCCTGAGCGAATATACTTATAAGAAATAGTGTAAATGTATGCAAAGGATGCGATATAATTTAAATCATTTTAACATATATACTAATTATAATTTGATCAACGTATTAGTTTTAAAAAGAGATCAGTATTTTTAGGATTTCAAGTGCATAAAATTTAGGCGTGCGCAGCGATAAGCCCCGAAGCCCGTTGCCAAAATGGTGAGAGTGAGATTCTACATAAAGATTGTTCATAGAATAAAACGAGGTTTACGTGAAGTAGTAAACGTGTTGTGTATAGTAAAATCATAAATAAAAAGTCGAGTAGAGCTCATGCTTCGGTGGAAATCTTTGAAGATGCAGCATATAAAACATCAAGACCTCCACTGTATTCGTATTACCATTTAATAATGCACTTCAACTCTTACTAACCGCCGCGACACCTCAGCTGGATTTAAAAATGATGTCTCCCATTCAGTATTAATGCAAATACTATTCAGAACGTGTCCAGCGAATGGAAAACAGTACGAAGTGTTTCGAGTACATACACTGTGGACGCAGATTGACATTCAGGATTTAATACCAGGATGACCAGGCTTCATCCTGATTCTGCATGATTCCCTGTGTAGTGCCACACTGGTATCGTTTGACCACAGCATTCGATTCCATATTTATGTAGGATTACTCTGACTTAGTCTTGATTTCTGTGCCTTCTCTTGATCAGTGATTTGTGAATGAAAGCCTGTCATTACATAAGAGGTTCTCAACCTGTAGCGTTTATTGGATGTTCATTTTGAAGTATTAAGGCCATATTTGGATTTGAATAAAACCAGACACAATGACAAACCCAGACTGCGCTTTGCCAACATACCCTTGCGTTGTTTGACAGATGAAGTTGTAGCCGTATGGTGACACGACAACTTCATCAAGTACTAGATTATAGAGTTACTACTATTATGATGGCGACATTTACTCAGGGTTGCCAACTCACGCATTTGGCGTAACACGCTTTCACTCTCACGCTCACGTAAGATATCTTACGGCAAATCTATATTATTCCACTATAAACCTTAAATTAGTTACAATAAAAGCGTTGGGGGTATTTTGCAAAATCTACATACTATTTACAAGATAATAAAACTCTTACATGCATGCAAATGCGTGTGCATGTGTGTGCATACTTGTCTCGAATTGAAAGTCTTACTCCAGCCAGCTAACCAAAGTTGGCAAACCAGTGGCCTGTACTACGAAGCGGGGTTACTGGCTTATCGGGGTAACTTGTCGGATTTAAGGTACCATAGTTTAAATGGACTTCATATTCGTTCACTTACATTTTGCCCAGACTACCATAAATCCGACAAGTTACCCCGATAAGCCAGTAACCCCGCTTCGTATTACAGGCCCCCAACCTTTTTCGCAGACAAATTAGACTACTTCTGCGGCGTGCCCAGTAGGCAGCGAAAATGGATAGAAAAATAACTTTCGTGATCTCGGCCTGGGTATTAGTTTCGCCATTGGAGCGGTAAAGATCCACAAGTCGACAGACCCACCGATACTGATTTACCTGCAATTAGCTCATATCGGCCGGGCTCTATAGTTGGATGTTTTTGGAAATGCATGGGACTGGTGGATTTTTTAAAACAAGCGGGAACTACAGCACTAGACAGAGACATTGAAAGTAGTTGGCAACTTGAGAACTTGTAAATTAAATACACTACCATACGCGAACGGATCCTGGCTGTTGGTTCCTTATTTAGGAGATACTGAAGCAACATGTTCTAACGAGCTACGATCGTTAACGGCGCAACGAAAAGAAAGAAAAATCAAAGACACGTCTGTAGCAGAACATTTCACTGAACTGACCAGTTCATTCACCACAAACAATGAAATGCCTCATGAGGATGTACCAGCCTTTACCTCAGATGCCGGGGGGGGGGGGGCGCATCTGGTTTTGATAAGTTCTAACTCCTGGCAAAATATATATATATTAGCACCAACTCAAGGGTTGCAATAGATTTTTTTTTATTTGGCAGTGTGTATGGAAAACAACGATAAAGACATAAAATACACTGGCACCAGCACTTAATAATTTACCCTTCAGACAGTACGGTGTCCCGTGGAGGACAAATGTGGCCGTCAACTAAAGCAGAAGTCATTCTGTGTAAGACTAAAGGTGCATGTATTTCAGTATGTCATTAATAAATACCGGGACACTTAAAAAGACACTTCTACCTTTCATGTCATGTATTTTCAACATTTTTCTAAAAAAATATAGATATTCCTTTCTTAAATACAAGGACCAGCCATAAAAAAGCAAGAGTGATACTAGAGAAGTAGTGCTGGGAGGTGTCCTGTGTGCCTGCCTATCTGTGTGTGTATATCTACGTCAGATGTACTTTCTCTTGGAGCAGGGCTTGCTCAGGTGGGGAGCCACAGTGATGCATGTTATTGTCACCCACAGCTTCATGTTTACAGTTGGATCAATGATAAGATCAAATCAGGTCAAGGACATGACTGGCTACATAACTGCAGTGCAGACTGACCGCAAGCATGGCATCTGTGTGCTATCTGTGCTGACTGACTCTAGTCTGTTGGGGAATGAAATACTTTACAGCCAATCGCTCCCGAGAGGCCTGAGTCCCTGGACGGGCTGGGAGCATGAAGGCGACTCAGCCATCGAAAGCACCGTCTGCTTATAGCAGGTGGGAGCAGAAAACACAGAACACAGTACAGAATGGGCTCTTAAGAAATAACTTCACACGACCAAAATATGTGATTACATACCGAGATTCCACTGTTTTTCAAGTAAACCAGCTATAATAACAATAATAACAATAATAATAATAATAACAATAATAATAATAATAGCATGAATGGTAAAATCAATGAACATGCTTTTTACAAAAAAACAAAGACATAAATGGACGTTCCTCAAACGTTATCAAGACAAGTTAACACGTGTTTTCCCCATCATATGCATTACTGACAAAGTTTCACCCTGCAGCTGTGATACACCCCTCGGAGGAACGCAGGAAGACTGGACATCCAAGACTCACAAGGTGACACTGCCTGTGCCCTCCAGCCCAACCCCAGCCGCCTTTGCCACTCTGTCATAAGTCAGAACTATAAGTGTCACAGAGATGACCAGCATCACCTAAAGAGTTCAGATGGAGGGTGGTTCCTTGGCTTGTGCCCCTGATCCAGGTTTGTTACCAGGCTCCCAAGGTGCTGCCTCAGGTCCTCAATGTCAGCCTCCCGTGACCCTATCTCAGGTTGCCACAGTCCATTGCTTAATCTTGGTCTCCTTGGCGAGGGATGGATTGTTCTGTCCGTCAGGCAAGAGCTCCAGTTCCTGGCCTCCCAGCTGACATCATTCTGACCAGCTGGAAGTCGCTCCATTTGTCAAGGCTGCTGTGAAGGCTAGCTCTTGCTATTAGGTGGCGAGACTGACCTTACAATTGATGTTAGAAGTTGAAGGTCACCTCTGGGTGAGTGTCAACCCCCAGGTATATACCTAGTCAGTAAATTATCTATTCAAACCTACACTGCACCACATTCTTATATATTAGCTTTATAATTTCCAGCTCAAATACCAGTAAATATCTTCATCTTTTCTTTCTTTCTGCTGTTAACACCAAACAAAGCCAAAAGCAGGATTGAGCTTCCAATCTACTCCTAACTAATTTACACCCAGGCCCCCCACATTTTCAATTTTAAATCTTATTAAAACAATATTCCAAATAAAGGTAATTATAATTACATTTACAACCAGGGTTTGAGTCTCCACCATGGCTCCATGTGTGTGTAGTTTGCATGTTCTCCCCATGTCATTGGGGGGTTTCCTCTGGGTACTCCGTTTTCCCCCCATAGTCCAAAAACTTGCTGAGGTTAACTGGGAATACCAAATTGTCCCTAGGTGTGCATGTGTGACTGAATGGTGTGTGAGTGTGCCCTGCGATGGGTTGGCACCTAATCCTGAGTTGTTCCCTGCCTTGTGCCCATAAGCCTCAGGGATATACCTGGGACCCCCACGACCCTGAATAGGATAAACAGTTACATGAAATGGATGGATGGAATTACAGTACATTGACAGTTATGAACCAGAATAGGAATTGCTTGGAATTTCATGTTACACAGGAGAGGAAGTGCCTCTTTGTTGTGTTCCAGATGGATATATGGAACATATATGAACACAGCTCAACATATATACTGTAAGTGTAGTGATTTTTTTTAGTATCTACTGCTTTCTGCCTCCATCTCACTTTCGTATCAGCCTCATTGTACCTGCTTGATTCTTTTACCCACAATTCTCCATCTTTCTGACTTTCTCTCATTTCACCATATCTTATAAATCCACACTTTCCACGAGTTATATTCACCAGTTCCATTCGGGGATGGGGGTCTTTACCTGCACATACACACAGACCCATGTCCACACACTGAGCCTGTGTGATCCTTGGTGTGGATGCTTGGGAGCACCATACACACACCACATTGTCTCTGGGGAACCAAGATTGGTTCCTGAAAAAGAAAAACCATCTACATTTGGACACCAAAATAATGGCTACCAGCATCTTTTTCTAACAAAGTCTATGCAGTCCATAAGGCCCCTCGCCACTCACGTGACTCTGGCCTATCCCGACTTACTGGACAGGGGGCCACAAGCAGACCAGCACCTCCTCCAATGAAGGCAGCTTCCTTGGCCGGGGGATTGGGGGGTGGACCACGGGGGCACCAAGTCAGCTGTCCTAGAGACACAACAGAGATGCAAACATGGGACTGTTCACTGCTCAGAACTCAAAGAACTGGTCTGATTACTATTCTGGTCCAGGTTCACCTACCTTTTTAACCAAGAGGGTGTGGAGGTCCAATGCACTTATATAAATCTGAACTACTGAGAATTGCCAGTTTACGATGATGGGGTAATTTCAGTGGTAATGGTTTATGGACACTGTTCAAATTGCTTAACAAATGTTGACACATTACCTGCAGCACCAGGGTTATTGCTATTACTGCAGTCAATATGACAATAACACATGAATCATATTCCCTGATTTACTGAGCGTCCAACTTTCCTGGATTGTCCAGGTGACTGGTGCACATGACTCAGAAATGGTGAGCCTTGAATCTATTCCAGAAAGCACAGAACATGACGCAGGAGACACCCTGGATAGCATGCCAGTCCATTCCAGAGCACATGCTCTGTCTCCCTCTCATACACACAATCAAAGCAAACATATTGTAAATTTATTATCAATAATACTCGTGGCTTTTACTGAACAACATTTTAATCATTATCACCTATTTCATGACTTTATGAAAAGAAGCACCTTGACATTTAGTCTTTCTGCCAAATACTTGGTCTTCTTGAATGTTGCAAACATTAATGTCTAAATTGTTCTTGTACTTCCTTGATTTGTCCATATGTCCTTGATCTAGATCCTGGGCCAGCAACCCTGATCCGGGAGTGCCAGTATTCAGCAGGTTTTGTATCCTACCTGATGCATTACAATCTGCCTGAGATCAGGTGTGGTTCATCAGAGACCAGGTAGGATAGAAAACCTGCTGCATATCGGCACGCTAGGATCAGGGTTGGCCACCCCTGACCAAGATCACCTTTCTGGGAAAGAAAGAGGGGTGCCCCAAAGTATAATGGCCTTTTGTTATAATGTCCGGCTCCTGGACCCATGCCAGAAAGTGAAGCCATACTAATAAAATGGAAAAGCATCCCTGCGACTGGCCTTGAGTGTGAAATGAGAGATGAGAGAATGAGGCTGACTAGGTCGGTGGGTCGGGGCTATTTATTGATGTCATCTCCATGGTTTTCATACTAAACATGTTTTTTGTCACAATGTACCCATTGCACATTTTGTCTTATTCTCCATTACAGGTTTCTGCCTGTTTTTCCCACAAGCTTTTGTTTTTATTTTTAGTAGGTCATATTACGAAACAGTGTGAACTTCCACTATAAAACATAATGTGCACATACAATCTTTGTATTTCCAACAAACAAGTAATGAAAAGAAACTAATAAGATTTATAAACATAGACAGTAATCAAACTCCACAGGGGCACACTGATAGGAAGCAGACAGGCAGTAGGTATACCTCAGGGCACACCCCCTGGTTCAATGGCTCCCCAGGCTTCTCCATCTGTTCCTGGGAGTCCTGGCAGTCTCGGGATCGTCTCGGGGCCTCATTTTCCCAGCGGGCAAAGCCCCTTTCCTTGGAATTCTTGCTGTGCAGTCGGTACCTCATCTTGGGAAATGTGTGTGAACCCCCATCGACAGGAGCCCAGGCATGCTCGGACCACAGGGGTTCCGTCTGTGTGGCCTGGCTGGTGGTAGCCCGTTGCAGCCGTACTGAGATCTTCTGGGCAGAGCCAGTCATCAAAGTGATGGACTGGGCCTCCAGGGTAGGGCTTCCTGGTGCCACTTTGGGGAACTCAAACACTTCGTCTTCATCTGCAAGAAGACAGAGGTCAGCTACTTTAGGCTGTACCGACCTGTGTCTGTAAGTCAGAAGTTATGTGCGTCAGTACTAACCTATGCATGAGGCCTAGAAGCTACCGACCTAAGCCTGCCAGTTGGAACATATGTGCAGCAGTATTGACTTGCTTGAACGACCTGGAAATTAAATGCTGCAGTATCGACTTGCTTGCGTGGTCCGAAAACTGATGCAGTACTGACCTGTTCACATGGTTCTGAAGCTATGTTCAGCAATAAAACCTGCGTGCATGGGCCGGAAGCTACGTGTGGCAGTATTGACTTGCACGCATCTTCAGGAAGCTACATGCAGCAGTACTGACCTGCTTGTGTGGTCCCGAAGCTACGTGTAATCATAGTTACCTGTGCATGCAGGCCAGAAGCTATATGTAGCAGCACCAAACTACACATGGGCAGTACTGACTTGCGTGCGCTGGAAACCATGTGCGCCAAGACTGACCTGCATGTATGGGCCCGAAGCTACCTGCAGCAGTACTGACTTGCACCTGTGGGCCTGAAGCTATGTGTGGCAGTACGGACCTGCATGCATGAGCCCAAAGCTATGTGCGGCAGTACAGACCTGCACATGCGGGCAGGGTGGGGCTGCTGGGCAGTGAGCTGTGAACGGCGGTGCTGGGTGCCACGCTAACCAGGGAGGAGGCATGCGGAAGCTTCCTGCAGGCTAGGACCAGCAGCTCTCGGCACTGCTTGTGACAGTTCACTCCACAATCTGAAAAAGAGCACAAAAGCTGTGTAATGCAGCACAGTGTAGCACAGCAGGATGAAATATGGGGCAGCCATCTGTAATCATAAACAGAAGAGGGGAACAGGCTGTCGGTTAGGCTATGTGGAGTCAGCTAGCATAAGGCTAATGATAGACCTGGGACTCATAGCCAAGCATCACATGGGCCGCAGGCAGCAATGGTGAGTGAGGCCCTAGCAAAGGGGTGTTAATGTAGTTAGGTAAAAACCACATGAACCGCACAGACCACAGCAGACTGAGAAGCAGGGCCCAGCAGGCAGGCGAAGCTGAGATCCCAGCACCAGGTGGATGGCACTCACCTTTACACTTATATCCCTGCTTGATGATGCCCCATAACTGTGGGAGAGAAGTGAGGGGGGGGGGCAAGAGAATGTCAGTGGATGAGAGGACAAGCAGATTGTGGGAAAAAGGGAGGTAAATACATGAAAGGCAGGGTGGCCATGGTGTGCTTGCGAGGGAGGCTTGCAGAGACTCACAAAGCCGGCACAGTGCTCGCAGAAGGTAGGCTTCAGGTATGTCATCTCCTGAAAGTTGTGGATAAACAAAGGGCCCATTTTCGACTGCAGCTGGGAGTTCGCTCTGAGGAAGTAGGCCATCATTTCATCCTTGCTGATAAGTCCGTCCCTGGTGACATGGAGAGGCGAAGAAAGGAATGAGGGGAGGATCTGGGACTTTATTTACTAGTTTAATACTATTTATTATTATTAATAATAATAATAATAATTATTATTATTATTATTATTATTATTATTACTGATATACCCAACACTGAATGCCAGATTTCAGGGTAATGGGTAAGGGTGCGGATGTGGACCATTCTGCACCGATGCAGTGACAGAACATAATTGATTATAGCCATGTAACATTGCTTGTTAATTTTCCAGCTGTGGCTGGAAAATAAAAGTTCTATAATTCAAAAGAACTTCCTCGTAGCTACCTTCACTGTCTATAAAGTGCTTTTCCACTGCACCAGGTACTTTTTTATGGTACTTAAACTTTTCCCTGTGGAATTCCACTACCAATCACTGGGTTGCTCATGGTCATATCTTCTGCGCAGTGATATGATTGGTGTTTGGAGTTCTGTAGAAGGTAATAGTTCCTACATTAAACTGCTCACTACAAAGTCTGTGGATTATATCTCCAAAACTAGGCATCTCCCAGCAGAACAACCTGGATGGATCAATGGCACTAAATCCCCTCTAAAACACATCTCTTTCAAGAACTGCTCCTTTAAATTGCGATCTGTTTGGAACAACATAAAACAGGATCATGATGGCATGACAGGAAATAAAATATTTTGTATAATATACTAGAACAGCACGGTATTATTTCTTTGTAATAAATATTGGGGCATTTATAAAGCAAAAAAGGAGTTCAGCATAAGCAATTAGTTACAACATACATGTAATGCACTGCACTACAGAAGGATTTAAGGTTTGTTTTGTGAGGATGATCATTTTCCAATTATTTTGGTTTACAATTTAATTTAATCTTAAAACATTTATTTTAACCATTAAAGTAATTATTTTATGGAAGAAGTACACTGCTGAAAAGTACATTTGTAAAGAAATGTTGAAATAATTAAAAGGGAGTTCATAGTCAATGATGAAAAATAGCAATGTGCGTTAATATAGAAATTTGACAATGCAATGCATCGAAATGCATCTTGGAATCGAATCGAATCATTACATGAAAACTGTAATTGAATCGTGAGACCAGTGAATATGCACAGTCCTGGTAACGGCAGGGGTAATACCGCAGTGGACAGGGACAGTGGGCGTGACTAAGCTGAATACCACACTCAGCTGTCACATGTCACATGCATGAACACACCCATATGGCTAAATAGATGGAGTATCACCTTCATCACTTTTTTCTAACACGATAGAACTTTTTTGCAGCATAAATGTACAACAGAACATATATGTGTTTGTATGGGGGGAGTCACACAAATATGCTGTAGGAAAATACTGGCACAGGAACTTGGTTGGGGGACATGGCTACCATTCCACTGGAAAGATATGCAATTTAAGGTTAATTGACTACTGTATTAAAACCCCCTGAAATCTCCAAAGTTCCCAGACATAGACATGCATCCTCTCAGGCAGCTGGAATGCAATTGTAATACCCCACTGCACAGAGATGCCATTGGAATACAGTCAGGCAGTACTGCTCTGTTTGTCCTTTATGTTATGCCGTACCTTCTGCTGGCCCTGCAATTAACCATGTATTCGAACCATCAGAAAAGCTTCATATTTGGGGGAAAACACTTTCTTTTTCCAGACTCACCCCTCACAGTGTCATTCTGCTCTGTTTGTCCTAATATGAACCTATTCACTTATTTATCACTAGACCTCACATGCAATACAGCCTAGTATCTGTACTCTTCTGTAAAAATCCAGTTTGTAAAAACTGGTCAAAGATATCAATTATAGCAACTCTCTGAAATGCACTTATCCATGAAACCTTTCATCTTAATATTGGTATAAAGGTTGACAAGTCAATCTTCCAGTCATTTATCCCGGAGCCTATCCTATGCAACATATGGCACAAGGCTGGGGTACAATCAGGTCAGGGTGCCAGTCCATCTTAGGGCACATACACTGTGGTGAGTAGCCCAGCAGCCCACAGTTTAGGAATCTCTGTTCATATCCAGAAGGTTGTAGGTTCAGATCCTACACCCAGCATATTTATCACTGCTGGGCACTTGAAAAATGCCCTAACTGCACTATAGGTGACGCTAGCTGACCTCACTCCCTGATGCCAAGCTCTCCTCATTTGTGCGTCGGTTTGGACAGAAGCTTCTGCTAAAGAAATTAATTTAAATATACATATATACACACAATCCATATTTGGAAAAAAACAATGTTTTCCTTTAGACTTGTGTCAAAAAAGATTCCAGAGCAGCTTTCAGTACACCTGTGCTTGTGTTCACGGCACTGGCTCTCTTTGGTACAAAAATCAAACCTGCTCAAGCAGACACATTGGTTCTGATAAGTCCATAGCTCACAATCTCTAGGAGACGACTTTGCCGCCCCCTCCCCTGCCATCCTAGCCCAGCCTGGTCTGGCACTCTATAACTCTAGTCAGGGCCAAAGCAAGAGCTCCAACATTCAGACCACTACCTGTAAAGATTCATCATCCTATTGCTTTTTTATACACTCCATTCTGGACAAATGCAAACATACAACCACCAAATCTGTAGAACTGTAGAAAGACCGCATCCGATGTCATGGTTAGGGAAGTGCACTTGTAATTGAAAGTTTGCAGGTTCGAATCCCTGTCCAGCAAGGCACCACTGAGGTACCCTGAGCAAGGTACTGCCCCCAAGCACTGCTCCCTGGGCACTGAATTAGCTGCCCCCTGCTGTGTCACATTGTCACATATGGGTTAAAAGCGGAGAACACATTTTGTTGTTGTGCACTGTGTGCTGTGGTGTATCGACAATCAATAACTAAATTTGTAACTTAATTGTAATCTGGGTGAAATACCTTATTTCATTATAAAGTATATCGATCAGCTCCAATTATGGTGGACAACCCACTCACTGGCTTGAAGAAAACCTGCTTTGTGTGTGTGTGCGTGCACGTGTGTGTGGATTCTGTTTATATTACATTGTGGGGACCAAATGTTCCCTACAATGTAATAAAAACCTGTTATTTTGACCATTTTCCAGGTCCCCACAGAGATCTGTGAATGCAGTCAATAAAGTAAAAATGCCATATGTCTCGTATTTTGTTACTTATGGTTAAGGTTAGGGCTGGATAGGGGTTAAGGTTGTCATGTTGGGATTAGAGTTTTACCCATAGAAATTAATGGAGAATTCCCACAAAGATATAATTACAAACCTACATGTGTGTGTGTTTGTGTGTGTGTGTGAGTGTGTGTGTAACCACTCACTGGTCCTTGTCCAGGACACAGAAGGAGTCCAGGAAGGGGAAGTTTGCAGTGATGCTTTCAAAGTCCTCCTGAGAGATGTAGCCGTCATGGTCATGGTCATAATTCCTGAACACAGACTGCCCAAGAAAGCATCAACATAAACAGAATTACAGTAATAAAGCTGACAACATATTCCTGATGCATATAAGAATACACCAGGTACCATGGATTGACAGATGCAATCAGATTGACACTATTGCATAACAAACTAACAGTTTACATTGTTAAGGCTGTAAAAATTAACTGGAAAAAACATGAGGATCATGAATGAATGGATGAACATATGCAAGACAGAATGTGGGAATTGAATGGATGAACACAGACAGGACAGAGTGTGGTAAGTGAATGGATGAACACAGACAGGACAGAGTGTGGTAAGTGAATGTAAGTGAATGATGAATAGACAGGAGACAGGACAGACTGAAGGTGTGATGAAGAGATATGAGCACATACATCCACCACTTTCCTGATGTGCTTGTTCACGACGGAAGGGTTGGGTTTTGTGTGCACCCCTGAGGCCCAGTCCAGCGGGGCCATCGGCTTATTGGGCGTGGTGGGAGAGGTGGGCTGTAAGAAATAGCAGAAGCACTGTAATAGTACAAATAGCATGTTTATCTTACTGAGCTCAGAACAGTTAGCTTCCAAGAGCTGCCTCACATCCAAAAAAAAAACCTTAAAATCTATAAATAGATGGATGTCTTTTCATAAACACAGCTCTCTTTGGAGTTAAACACTTTTTTTCAGTACACTGAATTCTCTTCACCACAAACAATGTTCATTTTAAAAAATACACTGCAGTCAGTACATTAAAGGTTGCAGTCTATGTTTTTCATGCTGACTTACCAGAGACTTTGGGTTCCGGGGTTCCCTCAGTAATGAGAGCTCATAAATCTCATCTTCTGTGTAATACAAATCTAGAGAGAGCTGAAAAGATCAGAGGTGCTGAAATCATGACAGTCATTAACGCACCAGCTTTTGTTTGGCTCTGCCCATTGACTAATCTCTCAACTGCACAGTGGGTGGAGTGGAACATAAATTTTTTTATTAGAAAGGGAGAACATGGGGGACATTCTCACTGGCCTATTTCAGAAACATGGTAGAAGTAATGCTTTGGTTGTAAAATAAACATTTCAGTGGGGACTGAAAATGAAACACACTGCCCTTCAGAACTCAAATTCTTTTTCAAACCAGATTATTGATACAGAAAATGATACTGAACATTGTTCCAATGTTGCTGAATGGAGCACAATGTCATATGGTTCACAAGGTCACAGGACTTGTAATGGGTGTAACACTCACTGCCAGCAGGTAGATAAGGTCCATGTTGGGCTCCACCTGTGATGCCATGTTCTGCAGGGACACCAGCTCATTGAAGGTCAAGTAGAGCTGCTGCATCTTCACAATGTTCACCTTGCCGTCATCCACCCAGTCAGGGAAGACCACATGGACGGCGATCAGGTCCTTCAGGTGCACTCCCAGGATCGGGATCTTGAAGCACTCACAGTCAGTGAAGGCCTTGCGGTAGGCGCTATAGTTGCCATTGGAGGAGACCAGCTCTGTCATCTCGTTCCAGATCTGAATTGGACGCACGTGGTGGTATTACAGAAATACACACAAAATGAGAAGCTAAAAGCGAACTTAAGCAAACATGAATTGAAACTAATTTATCATTAATTTTAAAGTAGGATAAGAGTAAACAAAATCTAGCAACTGGGAGGGACAGTGAACTGTGGCTGAATGAAGAGTGTGGAGTGTATGTGGAGTATGGAGAGTATGAAGAATATGGAGAAATGGAGCTGAATGCAGAGAGAATGAAGCTGAAGCAAAGGAAGAGATGGACCTTTGTGACCTCGGGCGCCAGGTGCAGGAGCGTCTCCTTGAGGCGCGAGATGGAGCTGTGGCTGAGCCCCCCCACCACCGCCATCAAGGTGTTGAAGTTCTGCAGGTAGAGTAGTTTCTGCATGCAAGGGAAACAGAGGGGGGGAGGCAGCATGAGGGAGGGCAGCTGGTACAGCAGCCGCTCCTCCCACGCCATCTGCTCCCAGGAGCAGCACGGAGCAGCGGTAAAGAAGCTCCAGTTTGGTGAGCCTCGTTAAAGGGGCAGGCTTACCCCAACTTCTGGTACAACTAGCTTTAGATAGGAAAAACCCTTTAACCAATCTTGGTTTGACCAGGATGCTTTTAAAGCAATGACCTAAAAAGCTACTGATAAATTAAAAATATTTTTACCATAACACCTTGTTTTTTTGTGAATCATAAATGATTATTATGGAGTATTCATCTTAATTAAGATTAATCATAATTTTTGCTCAGAGTCTTGGACAATTCAATGTTTAAGTAGTTTAATATTTCGGCAGTCCCAGTTATGTTTAAATCTGTATTATCATTAAATATCTTATCTTGTCCCATTCCCATTAGCATATTCACAGTGCAGAATTTCTCTTGGGAAAGGTCAGAAACGTCAGGATTAAATTACAGTCAGAGTCCTTTGAAAACAAAAGCCAAAGGTAGGGAGCAGGCTTGAACAGCCCAGTCAGCACTTGCAGCTTCCACACCAACTGATTGTCATGGCAATGCTAGGATCCTACAGCTCACGTTTAGCATTTACATTTTCTCTGGCTTTTTGACTGTTTCACGAAATGTCTATTTGATTTCAGAATGTGGGGGTTTACAGGTGTTTCGCACATTAGAGAGCAAATCAGGGGATGTGTACTAGAAAATGGCCAGCGGGAAAACCTATTTACACAAAAGCAGCAGAACAACGGGAATGTTAGCTGTCTGGTATGTTTTTGTCTCCAGAAATATGGTATTAATATGTTTATAAAGGTTTCCATGTAACACAGCAGAAATGTGAACCCTGGCACAGGGACATGTCTTGAATGTTTTCCAAGACTCTAAGATGCACCCATTGGCCATTGGTCAGCGTCTCTAGATTTCAGTGAAACCAGAGCCTAGCTGAGGTGAATGTTCTGCCTGCCTGGAGATAAACACTGAGTATATTATTATTATATTTGTCTCTCCAGGACAGTAAATGTTTCATCAACCCATTTAAGACCCATTAAATAATGATAGTTGCATAATGTGCATGACCAGACATCAAACACAAAGGAAAAGAAGTGCTGTATTTGTAAGAGGTGTACTCCCCATTTTCATACTACAGACAAACCGGACATATTTTGTCTAACATGTTGTTTTAATATGACTATGAAAACCACTGTTTTTGATTAGTCTATTTTATGCTTAGTTTTAGTTTAACACAGCCTTATATCATAATGGTGGGCAGGGTGCATGACTGTTGTATTCATTTAGATGGCTTTCATAGGGGGTTCTATAGAGAATAAACTACTGTCTTATTTGTATCTCTAAAGGAGTTCTGCTTATCTAAAGGTTTAGATGCTTAATTTGGTTCTTTGGAAAAAAAAAGCACAATTTCTCCCAAACTGGACACAAGCCTGCAATAAAAACATAATGAGATCTACAGTTTTTTATGATGAATTCTCTGAGCAATCCATAAGCTCTTGTTGTATCAAAAGTGGAACAAAAAGGTATACAAAACATATTTTTGACCTCAAAACTAATAGTAGGATGTGAATAACACTGATAATAGTCTTCAGTTTAACCAAAGCAAGGTGGAGTAGGGGGACTACCTGGGCCACGTGGATGAACTTGGTGATGACCTCAGCGCGATGGTGTGGAGTCAGCTTGCTTAGGACCATCAGTTGCACCCACTGGGAGACACCATTGAAGAGGGCGATGGAACGCTCCAAGGTGGGATTGTCTACCAGGCATCCGTGTATCACGTAGCTTTGGTAGTCTGTGAACTGCAGAGAGAGCAGATGCTGAGGTTCTATCCCGGACCTTCTGGAGTACTCAGACAAGCAACCCTTTTTGAACCAGGAAGTTTGTCAACATCATGGGAAAAAAAAACATAAGGATGAACCTTCAACAAGGAAGGGAAAATGGCATCATCATCATACCAAAGCTCAGATCCACCCAAAAGAGGGGAAGACCAGATACCCAATTCAGGCAAAAAAACAGGAAAACACTGCAGGGAAATGTCCATAACAAAAACAGCCCCAGATGGTAAATTATTTACACTCTCTTATCAACATCCATGGCTGGAGGAGGAGGAGCTACAGCTATGGGGAAAATGGCTTGGCTCAGGTCCCAGGTGTAGAACGAACAGCCAAAGATTGACAAAGCTGCGGAGGGTTCAGTGGAAACCCAGCATGCGACACGTCAATGTTTCCATGGACAACCTTCACCCCGCAATTGACTGCAGCGAATAGTCCTACCGAAATTCTGCGAAATGACTTGTACTCTAGGAAGGTCAGGTGCTCTGCTAGCTCCATGGGCTCCAGGTGGTCAAACAGAAGTGACGCCTTGCCCTTCTTCGGCTGCTTCTTCCTCTGGGTCAGTTTTCTCATCCAGTCATAAGACGGACTGCCAAACACAAACAGAGCACAGCACACACTGTCAGACATGCCGCTTTCTCTTCATCTGCCACTGTTTGACGTGAAGCTAACATCTTAGTGACAGTGTGACAAAGGCTAACAGACTCACTGTATCAGGCAGCACCGTGTAGCGGCAAGTAGGACTGACCTCCTTTGCCTTTCACTTATCCACTTCAAGTGTTCAGCTGTGTGCTTGCAAATTGCCTTTCTGCACACTATTGTTATTTTTTGCACCAAACACGAGAATGGCTTCCTCTTAGTTTTAACGAGTATGGTCCTTCTCCTCTGATCTCTCATTAACAAGTTGTTTTCAGCAACAGAATTGTCATTGATTAGATGTTTTTGTTTATTGCACCATTCTCTGTAATCACTACACACGACAGTGTGTGGAAATAACAGGAAGGTGGCTGTTTCACCATTTCTGGAACCACCAATCACGCCATGTTTAAAATTTCTTTGATCACGAGACCTCTATCTGCATACTGCATGTGCTCAGTGGCAGACACACGATTAACCAGGATGTGTAACTAATAAGTGGCCACTGAATCCACTCTGCAGAGAACAAACATGCTTCTTTCTTATACCATTCAGTGAATCTAAGGATATTCAGCATCTGTCCTGAACTGGAGACAGATATTTCTGCTCAGCAGTTTTCATAACATTCCTATTGAACAAAGAATGTGAGTCACCTGCAGCATTTAACAGGAACATTCCCAGGACTTTAGCTAATGTTATTCAAAAGTCTTCTCAGATTTTCAGAGAATATTCTGACTGTAACGTTAATGGAACATTAATTCCACATTTTACCTTCTAATAAAAGTTCAGTTAATGTTGGTATGGTGACATTATTACCTGAACACCTTTTTAACATGACTAATGTTGAAAAATATTGCTTTATACTTAAATATCATTTTAAATGAGTGCTCCAGGTGCAAACTGCAAACACACCATCCAGCCTTGAACCCATGCCCTTTGAGGTGTAAAGTCACAGTTTTATCTGCTGCCATTGGTTTCTACAAAAACTCTTTCAGCTTTTGCCATCAGGCAAAATGATACAGAGCAATGAAAACGAGGACAAAAGGCCTAAAAAACAGTTTTTATCCCAATGCAATCATGGCTTTAAATTCAAAATAGAATTGTTAATCTTTATATTTTATCACTGCAATTTGTATATTTTAAATATATTTTTATTACTCTTATGCCTCACATTGAGTCGATTGCATTTCAGTTTCATTGTTCAAGTGACAATGACAATAAAGATTTATCTTATCGCTCTCTTACATTATTAGTCTTAGTGTAGTAGTGGTTGTAGTAGTAGTAGTATAATGTTCTGGGAACATCAGAAAATGTTGAATGTTTCCACACTTTAATCATAACGTTTGGTAAATGTTCCAAGAATTAAATTTTGTTAGCTGGGTTGGGATGGTCTTTGCTACCCGAAGGTTAAGCCAGAAAGTTTGATAGTCAGGTCAGGTATGTCTTTAATATGTGCTATGTGAGTGTGCAAGTTGAAATAGCATTTACGTATCCCTGTGTGTGAGTGTGTTGGAATGGCTGTGGATGGGCCTCACATGGTGGAGATGTCAATGAGCTTGATGTGCTCCTCATAACCCAGCTGGGCCGCTACATCTCGGAACTCCTCCGTCAGCTGGATGAGGCCCAGGTCCAGGTTGAATTCTGCTGGGAATTCCACCGTCCAGTACCTGGGCAAGTGTTATAGAAGGCATGTGAGGCACCACAACAGCAGGCTCTGAGGCTTGCCCCTGGAAAGGCCTCCACATTCCTTGTTGCTGCCTACTAGCTGGATGAATCATCAGGTAGGTACACACCTGCACAGGAGGATCTCCTGATCAAACTATTGTCAATATATCTAGAGATTGTGCTATGTGAGCCATGAAAGAATTCTCCAGAAATATCCCACTCACAAAGGTCTTGTCAAGGTACATGGTGACTGGTGGAATCGGTCTTCTGGGTACCACAGAAGGGTTAGCAAAGTAGTGCAGAAAATATTTTACAGGGACTCTACCATGAAATAGCAACTGAAACGAAAATGGATTTTTAAACTAGTGAGAAAAATAATCTCACATTCCTGAAAATCAACAGTAAGGAGAATTTATGGAAACAGCACAGAGCTGGAGGGGCCGGCGCCAGGAACCGCGAGGCAAGCACGACCTCAAGTGTGGTTGTCAACAAACGAGGAGGCCCGGGTGCGTGTCATGAATCACAAGACAGCCTCTTTGCTGACTGCATTCACCCGAACAATACATCTGCTTCACATGGCTGCGAGCGGCCAATCGCTCACACGGCTTGCATTTGGCTGTCATTTCAGATGACATCATCCACGCTGCCATGTGAGCCACAACCCTGGAGCAGCGACTGCGAAACCCTGACTGTGCCAAGGACCACTACGGAGGACAAAACAAAACATGGTGGTGCATAAAATGGGGAGGTTTGAAAATCTCAGCTCTATACCTCATTAGATAGCAGATCTTCAGTCTGGTCCTCTGGCTGTCATCTCCTTGGCAGTTGCGGTACGTGAGAAATGTTAAGGAGGGTTTGTGGCTCAAGTTATGCAGTCCAGCAATGACAAGCTAATAACAAGCAGCTAAATTAAACTGAACTGGGTGTTTCACAAATATAGAAAGAGAAACCAGAGAAGAAGGTTATGTGTCACTGAGACAATGCAAAGTGGACCATGCACAAGCTCCACGGTTCCCATACCAATATCTTCCAACCCCAAAATAATTCACACATGATCAATGCAAACCTGGGGAAGAGTCCCACAACCTACCAAGGCCACTGTCTAAGGTCTACCCAATGTTTGACGCCAACTAATAACACTTTCAAAGAAGGATAACACTTCAACAGTCTCGTCTTTTATGGCCCCTTGTGCATTTCAGAAATTTAAGGATTCAAGGATGTATTTGTCAGCTGTAAGGTTTACAGTCAGACTATAACCTTCAGTAAAATGTAAGACGGCTAACTCCATCATAATAAAATAGTTGAAGGTAGTATGACAGAAAGGTAACAATATAATAAATATAATAAATAAGGAACAGAGAGTTATACTGGAACAAAAAAATGCCAGAGATGTGCAACACTGTATAAAGAAAGCATGAGCTGCAAATGTTAAATTATAACCATTGATTAAGTATTTCGTAACTTGATGGCTTTAGGGAATAAGTTCCTTCTGAGCCTCTCAGTTCTCACTGAGAGACAGCAGAAGCGCAATCCAGAACTGGTCTGGTACAGAGGTGGTGGTTTAGCCATGTATCAAAGCTGGAAACCACAGACTGAGGAATACTGACAAGACAGACAACTGACGTTTCCTCTGTAATGTAGGGGAATGTTGGACATAGTTGAGAACAGCAAAAGAAAAATTTGGTTTTTATGAGAGGGAGAGATCAAACAGAAGCTCATGGAACTTTCTAGGAAACAAATAGTTTAGTATGTCAGAAAGTATGCTAGCACACAGTGTGTGAGGGTTTCTCTGGATCCACCCCAGCAGAGACTCGCACCCTGCTTACGAACCGTCCTAAGTGCCTTGTCCCGTAACAGTGCTTCCCCATCGTAATGGGCATGGAAGCAGCCGTACAAACCTTTTCCCAAATGGCCACTTGCCCTGCCAAAGGATATATTGCGAGCAGTTTCCCGGCCAGCTCAGTGGATGTGACGTACCAACGGTGCATCAGCAACATGACCCGGGGTAGCTGACAACCCCGCAGGTCACCGCTGTCATCTGCAGGAATTGGGGAGAACAACCACTGGGTGACTCCTGCATGCATTAATGGGTGTACAGCAGGTCGCTGAACCTTCAGCCATGTATGGCAGAACACACAGCTGGGACAGCGAAGCTGTGAATGGCTCATTAAATCTGAAATAGACACTGATTCATGGTTAACAGCAAACAGGACACACTGTTTAAGAGGAATTCAGTATAATACTCTTTACTTTGAACTCGTGTTTGGACAGAACTCCTGATCTTATCACGGCCTGACTGACTGTTAGTACTGTCTCTCCGTAATGAAGTGAATAGTAACCAAGTGGGAGTGTGAATGGATTTTATACAAACTGAAACAACTCACCAAAGGCATGAATGCAGGCCTCCAAGAGCTGGCCCAGATAGGCAGCCTTCCCCAGCAGGGATGATCCCATTGTGCTCTGGGGCCAATGTCAGGGCAGAGATCTACTCATATCCTCAAAACTGAAGAAAGGTTGTCCTCCCGGCGCTATGGGGAACAGGACAATTTTCGTTGTTCAGCACGTTGCTTTGTGGGGGTCATACATAGACAGCAGCAGCAACATTAGCAATACTACAGACAATCTTCCACCAATGGGAAGCAAAGGTTGTACCACTCATGGAAACAGTACGAGGTGGCTAACAGGTCAGTGATATTCCTCAGTGCTAAGCTAGGATGCCACTTCCTTGGGATTACTACTATGAGCCTAACACTACCATGACTGCCCATTATAAGTAGTGTTGCTAACATCATCACCTTCAGGATGCTAATGACACCAAGCATCAAAGTGTTTCTATCTTATCTTGCTAAAATGAAATGCATTCAAAAAACAGTTTCTTTTGAAGTGTACTTGAAGTTAAACTTTTCTTTCAGTTTAAGGGTTAATCCACCAGGAGAACCATACCTAAGAGTCAGCAGAGCAATCACGGTCATGTTATACTCACCTGTCTGGTACATGTGAGCTGCCTTTACAGATTAAATTCCCAGGGTTCTGCATGGGCCTGTCGCATTCTTAAAGAGCGTATGGGCAAAACAGATCACAATTTCATGTAGTACTGGAGTTCCTATAAGGGAACACGAAACACGTTTTGCTTGTGTCACCAGTGAAGTTAGGCAATACCAGGAGAGTCCAAAATACCTACACCCATTTTGGGATTGTACTGCTGTACTTGCAAAGAAGATGCGGCCATCTCTGAAGTTGCCTCTCATCCCCAGGTTATGACCTGCCTTCAGAATGCATGTAAGGCACATCAGAGTGTTGTGCTTTTACAAAAAGAAACGCTTAATAAACTACTGCTTTGCAAAGACACGAGGAAGAAGCTGTGTTTTGGTCCAGAGCCTTTTGAAAAACAGCCACAAACATGAGTGCTGATGTTATCAAGTTATGATGGCACAGCAGGGGTGCTTTAATGCACGGACTTACCTGAGTACTAAAGGAGGGGCCTCAACCAGCCTTGTTCAATAAAGTCTTAAACCTAGAACATTCATGCTGCATTTATGGGATTGTCTCACACTGAAAAATAAAATGCGACTTGTCCCGTAGTGTCATGTCTGAACAAAAATACAATTTAATCTGGACCATCTAGCCAAACCTTCTTAATGTTGGAACCCCTCAACAACAACTGTTATTGCTGTCCCCGCCCAAAAAGATGGTAGGGGGCCCACTGACAACTCAAGCCCCGAAGCCTCATGATAACATGCCTTTGATGCATGGCTGGAACAGAGAGTTGGGAAGGGGATCATCACCAAGATGGGAAACAATTTAACAGTGTCCCTCGTTCATCCTGACATCCCATTCAGAGGAGCTAATCAGGAAGGCAGCAGGCCTGGGTCTGTATTCATCACATGCCCTGCTCAAGGTTTGGACTGAGCAAATTGTTAGATCTGGCATAGTAACCACACACACATGCATATGTAAGCTGCATAAGCTGCATAATCGATTGCGCGATGCTGACGTCAATGTAGATTCCCCGGGGGTGGAGGGGGTGATTGATTGTGAACTCAAAGACATTGAGGGGATGAACCATCTCAACATGTTGTTTCTGACAAGGAGAATAAAGCCCCTGATGATAACACAGACCATTGTGAAATAACGGACATGCAGTGTTAACCAAGTATAGCTGAACAATGACACTGGACTCATATACAACTTGAAGACTATGGGACTCCTGTGACGTCTAAGCAACAATGTGCCTCCTGGGTGTTTCTGTTTTGCCCAAGCAGGCCAAATTAACACCTCCTTCAGAGCTCCAAGGCTGATTGCCAAATATATTACACAATAACACAAACCCTTGAAAGAATGATGACTCAGGTGTGTTCCTATTACCCAGTGTCTGCCCAATAAAAACACAAGAAACATTTATATGTCTAAGAAAAAGCCAATTCATATATTCACACACTTGTGAGAAGTATACATCTGTTTTCAGCAAGTAATTTTCAGCATCCAAAAGATCCAAAGATGTTTGCAAACTGCATCCATGGGTCTACAGTTGAGTGCTAAACTGTCACCCCATGATGCTTTGATCTGAAGGGTTACTGGCTAGGGTGACTCTGCTCAGCTATGGGTAACTTTGTCACACATGCCGTCATTCTTAGTAGCTTCCTCCAGACCCACTGTAATCATATCTAACATGCTTCTTTGGCCCAGATTTCCATTTACCTGTGTTTCCTGTTAGACACCAGCATGGTAAAATCGCCCAGTTAGAACTGCTCTTTGAAGCTGAAGCCCAGTCAACAACCAGCTTTTTTAATGGGGAAAAACAAACCTGACTGTTCCAGTCACCACAGGGAAACCCCCCCCTACATTAAGCCTCCCCTTAAAATGGTCTTTGGGAGTAAAGGAAGCATTGTGAGAAAAGAAGAGTGTGTTTTCCCTCTAACAAAGAGATCCAATGCATTTGCAGCTTTTCACACCTGCTCACACACGTCGGTCCGGCCCCATTACGAGCCTTCTCCAAGGAGCAGCAACCCAGGTAGCTACCCAAACACGTTTTTTTTTTATTGCATTCATCGATCTTTGTGGTGACCTGAAGAATGGTCCCCATTATGTCAAAATAATAGGTTTTTTATCACGTCCCCTCAATATAATACTACTTAACAATAATAGTAATATAAACATAATCCCCACATACACACACAAATTAGGTATCTATATCTTTGTAGGAACTCTCCTTTCATTCCTGTGGGCGTAACCCTAATCTCAACTACGACCACCTTAACCCCTAATCAGCCCCATCCTTAACTAGTCTTCCGTGTAATGAGTGAACCATTTCCTAGTAATAAATAGGTACACTGTACAAAACAAATGGCAGCCCTGCCATTTTCCACATCAGTGAAGCAGCACCGTTGCCTACCTGGTTAATCATTCCCCTAGTTTTCACACAATTTGCATCTGAATTTGCACAATTAAACACTTGTGCCTCATTTTTGAGCTTTTCAGCTGCTATGCTCATGTTAAAGAGTAACTAAAAAGTAATGGTAAATTTTCAGAGATGTTTACATTTATCACCTTCACGTTTATTCAGACAGCAGGCACTTTGAGACTATGAACACAGTGGAGAGGCATACTGAGGTCACCATCGTCAGCACTGTCACCTGCACACAGCTGGAGAAAAATGTGCAGCCACCACAGCATTAATAATAACAGTAGTTTGGTGAAATGCACAGGGATTGGAAAGGTTACTCTGCTGCCAGTGAACAATAATGGCAGGTGCAGAAGCTAAGAATCAGGAAGACCAAAGAGTTACAGAATTATGGGAATTCTACATCTGACAGATATAACAACATTGTTACCTGTAGCCACAGTTTGTTTGTATATCCACAGTTTTAGTGTGTACGTGGCGGTGTTTCCTACAGCTCTCCATTCCAAGTCCTTACAGTTTCCTGAAGCTACAACCAGGATATATGTATCTGCTGTTGGCCAAGCCGGCCATACCATGCCCACACTGCGCCTGATGCCCATCCAGCCGCTGCACTCGCCATGATACAGTACGAAGCACAGGAGTCACTGGCCTAACAGCAATGTAAGAACATCCCCACAGTCACCCCATCAGCTGACCCAAAAATAGTCCCAAAGTAATGTCACAATGTTGCCACAACATTCCTGCAACGTCAGGAGAATATAAAGTGCCAATACTATCCCATGCTGGGCTCTGCTCACCCCAGGACCCCTGACACCTACCTGGCACCGTCTTGAGGTCTGGCAGTCCAGTTGACCCTCTATACAGCACAGGTCCCACAGGCTCACTTCTGTTTGTAAACACAGCGGCAGCCCCTGACAGGCTGAACCTAGCTCTCAGTACAAACCATGTGACCCAACACGGGGAAATCTCCAGGCAGAGAATTGGACAGTTCAGACCCCAACACTTGACATGAACTGAAGGGTGGTATGGAGGGTCCTGGTACTGAGCAGGAGCAGCAGTCCATCATAGGGATCAGTGAGAAAGAGCTGGAGCTGTGTGTTGCAGCCCTGTGCTTCCAGGGACAATGTGAGTGCCAGCCTGCTTCTCTCTATCTGTGTGTGTGTGTGAGTGTGTGTGTGTGTGTGTGTGTGCGCGCGCACGCGCATGCGCACTCCTGAACCAGTCACATGCACCTCCTCTGATCGCTCCATGCATAGTCCAGCCTGGAGGTAGATTCCTCTCCACCATGTCCTCCAGTTCCAACATACGTTGGGAAATTTCCCAGGGAAGTACTAAAGAAGAAGCAGGAAAAACTGATTGGGAGCAGAGAGAGAGAGTCTGCTTACAAGGAACAGAATTCAATATTGATTTGTACGGAAGCCTGACCACCAGTCGGTCTCTTTTTAAACAGTACTTTCTGACCATTTTAAAAGGAGACCTCAAGCAGTGGTTTGCTTCTGATGTTCAGTTTCATAATGCTGCCAAATGCAGTGAACTTAAAGGAAGAAAGTTATATCTACAACACAGTCTTCTATAAACGCAGCACAATAATTCGGAAACATTCTGTCCCAAAATAACCGCACGAGTACTGAGCAAATTTGCAGTTACATATTTATAGCTCCGTAACCTACTCCTAATTTAATACGTGTTTTCCCATCACTATATAGTACTTTATTCTTAAAGCAGTATGAGAATAACAATTATTTTTCAAATTTGTTTCGCTACTTTTTTCCTTTACCTGGTTCGATCACTGGTGTTTCAGTTATGATTTGGATAATATGATGGTTCTCTATAGATCCAGATGAGACGATTCTCATACGGCATCGACATCTAAACCTAGACTGTAATAAAGACTCAAACGCTTTAGATAGTGAAACACACCTGTGTAGTTTTTTTCCCCCCAACATGGTCAGTATTACTTCCTCTCCTGCAGTTTCTTGTTTCAAACCCGTATTTATGTTAACTATATGTGCATATGCGACATTCTGCAAGCGATCTTTCACCTTGCAAAATGAAGTTTCGTTTAAAGTTTAGAAACGATTGTCTGTTCTGCAAATGTAGAATTTGCAAATGCTGGGTGTTTAAATTTAATATTTTAATTTAATTTACAATAATGAAAATGGAATAATCCCTAGCAAATGATTTCATTTCGCTGAAAGGAATGCTACAATATAAGTTTTAAAAATGTTTGTTCTGTGGTTTCTTACCGTTTAAGAGAAATTTGATATATTTTGTGATATGCACATGGATGTGCGTAACAAGTCCACTTTCAATTTTCCTTTTTCAGGCTTTCAGCTTCAGGTAAACTCCCTATTACCACTGGAACTGTACTTAGACAGTAATGGCCTACTGTGCCCCCCCCTTGTCATCTCTATGGGCAGCGTTCCTGCTGTCCAACTCCATTTTCCAGCATGCTCAAATTCCTGGGACTAACAGAGACAAGCTGTGTTGAAAGGAAACCTACAGCACCCCCTACATACTATATGAGGAACTGCCCCTTCATTGGTGCTGTCTGTCTGCAGGCTCTTTCCCATTCAACGTATACGGGCACTCCTGACTGCCACCATCTGTGCTTTAAGCACACATTCAGGGAGTAAGCCACAACATTGTTCTCATCTTGTTAAGGTCTAAATGAACCATCCCAGTCGGAGTGTAACATATTAAAAACTAGCCAGGCCTTAACAACTCTTTATACTACACTTGTCTTCTGTCTATGGTAGAGGTACATTGGTCTGTCCCTGATGTTTCCTATGAGTTCCTCGGCCTCTGATACAGCATGGAGGGGCAGGCCAGGATTTCATCCCAGTGGTTCTGTACGTGTGGCTCATGTTCCAGTCCATGTACTGAGTGAAAGTGGGCGGTGCACATGGTGGGATGATTGCTGTGCGATGGATTCCCAGGGGGTACCATAGTGTGGCACTGCCTCCATGGTGAGTGCTACGGGCCAATCAATGCATGGGAGCAGCCCTGCCTCCTCTGCTAGCTGAGCACAGAAACGCTAAAGGAGACTCCCAGCATACACCATGGAACACAGCTATGCAAATTAGCTGGGTTCATTCACCAAGATGTGCAGAATAGCGATAGGGGTGGCAGGCATTACAGCTAAGGCCTCTCTCTGGCCTGGGAGGGTGATAGCAAAGGATTCACAGCACATAATGGAATCATTATGAGTCAATCAACATATATTGAGTCATTTGACAGTTTGTCCCATGGACCATGTTGCTGCTTATTTCGGTAACACTTTACATTAACTGCACCTTAATAATGCTTTTATATTGCATTCATAAAACGTTCAATACATCTTCATAATGTATTCATTAAGTATTCATAAAACATTCATAAACATCAGGTATGTATACCTTAACATCGTAAAATCCCTTAACAACTGTAATATGCATTAATAACAAATAATATAATATAATATTATAATATAATATAATTATATAATAATAACAAACATTATAATTGTATAATCATGTAATGTTTGTTATTAATGTATATTAAACCTGTTAAGGGATGTTAGGATGTTAAGGTGTACTTGGATGCTGCTTATGAATGTTCTATGAATGCATTATTAAGCTGCACTGAAGGTGCACTGAATGTAAATCGTTACCCAAATTTCTAAAGTAACTAAATGGCTATTTATAATGTGTGCATCTCCACCCACTCTCCATCATATGACATGTAAATATGTGGGGAGAGTTCTGGTATTGGCATTTTGCAAATAAGGTAGGAGAGCTTGTTCCTAAAAGTGGAGCATCCATGGAGCACACACAGAGCCCGATGACAAAAGCCCTTCAAGGAGGACCACGGTGAAAGTTCCTACTGGAGGCAACACGAATGGAATGGTCCCCCACCACCGACTCACCGGAGCAGCTGTCTGCTCATGCTTTCCCTTCAGCTGTACAAGAACTGGTCACACACATCTGGTAAGCATGACACATACAGAGCCATTGCCTCCATAGTGTTACTCCTGCCAGTCTCCACCTCAGTAGTGGATGACATACAATTAACTAACAAAAGTGAGACATAGGATCTGTAAGGAAAACTGCCCCCAACAGGGAAGATGCACCTACTTAAGTCCTACCTCAAATAATGGTCCGGTGGCCCAGTTCTCAACAGTCCATTCTTCTAAAGGGCTGGACAGTAAAAAGCAGTACCCAGCCCATGTAGACTGGCAGCTACCCCCCATCTGAGGGTTGGGGACACACTCCTCTTCTCGTGAAAGCCAAGTAAGCCTGACATCTGTCAGCTTCTCGGCACCCCGAGACCTGTGTGAGACTCAGCGTGGCCGAGCCGCCTCAGAGTGGACGAATTCCCCCGCTCACACTGTCCCTACACGCCGGATTGTTTGTCCAAATGGTAGGCTGACTTCCTCCTATTCTTTCCCAACATAGCTTTCCGGCCTGCGCCAAACTGTTTTCCTTTGCTGGCTAAAAATAGGGTCCCACACAAGGTAAACTGGAAAAGAGTAGGCAGGAAATGTGTCACAATAAGAAAGGGTGGGGGGGTGTTTTCAACTGTGTGTGGTTGTGACAGCAGGGATGAGTTTGTTTTGCTCTCCCTCCATCTGATGTGAAGCAGATGTTAAAGCACAAGATTAGTTAGGCAATCAGCTAGGACATTAACTGCAGTTGAATATTTGAAAAGTTCTCAATGGGTTTAAATGATGATTGAGACTCCAGTTAGGTCACGCTAACTGATGCTAACGAATGTAGCAACAGGAAATGAAGACAACTTTGCATGTAATGCCCCTTACAGCCCTGGTTGTTAACTGAGGTCCACTGTAATTATGTCTCTATACTTTTGACCAGAGTTATCATTAAGTCAGATGGTGGGACATTCACAACCCCTGGTCTCTGACAAAGTGTCACCAGTTTCACCCTCAAGCACCCTGACATGATTGATTGTGTTGACTCAGATGCCATGATCATTAGCCCTAAGATCAAACACCACTTTGGCAAGTTTCTGTTGTTCCTAAACGCTTCCACAGTGCAATAATACCACTTACAGTTGACCATGGAATATCTAGTAGGGAAAAAATCTCATGAAGTTATCGCAAAGGTGGCGTCCTAAGACAGTTCCATGCTTGACTTCACTGAGCTCTTTAGAATGACCCATTCTTTCACAAATGTTTGTAAACCTGACTGCATGACTAGGTGCTTGATTTTATACTCCAGTGGCAATGGATCTGAATGAAACACCTGAATCTAATGATCAAGTCATGTATCCTAATACTTTTGTCCATATAGTGTAATTGCGTGCTCCCATGGACACTGATTAGGCTGCATATATCGATACTCAAAACCAGGACTGGCAAATCTGTGATTGGCTGTCTAAAATGGCAAAAGTGAGAGCGCAATATTTCACCCCCAGCAGAGCTGTTGCTAGAGGGATAGGAGGAATTTAAGGAAATGATACATACCAAAGGCAACATGACAAAAGTGGCCAAAACAAGAGAGGGGGCTGGAAAAAAAGTGAATGACAACTTAAATGCTTAAGTGTCTTTTAAAATTTACTTTTGAAATCTTTCCATTTTCACTGCCTGTATGAAGTTGATATTCATTCCATCTTATTCAAATCGAGTACCAGCAAACCAAGTATGGAGGACTAAACGTAACATAAGTATAAATAAATGTACAAAATAATCATGAAATAATGCAAATAAAGAGCACACTTATGCAATAAAGTTTATGCAAAATAATTAATTGCATGTTCTTCAGTTATACAGTATATTATGGAACTTAAATTACAATAATATTTTATCACTTATAATTTCACATATTATTTAATAATTATAATTTTACTAATCATTGATTTTTAAAATCATTATTTAATAATAATTTAATTATTAAAACTAGTAATAGTATCCCATCATCTTTTTTGTGTTATATATCCAATACTGATGCTACTAAATATGACGGCTCTTTTGGTATTCACTTCCTGTAGTAGTACCCCCACTTCAGAAGTAAGTTTTTCTAATTTTTGAAGTCCTATGCGCTACCGTTTTTAGATTTTTGTTTGGGCATTCTTAACTTCTCTCTTAACTTTCTCTTTTAATTTCTTTGTGTGACTTCTGTGTGTGCACACAGCCCTGTAGTCTCATGGGACAAGTGGGGCATTTGCCTATTCTAATTAGGAACAACACAAAAATCTTAGTTTACTAGGATAATGGTATTTATCAATATAAGAACACACTTGTGAAAAATTCTGTGGTTTAAGAACACTTTGTGAATCTAATGTAGATTTTTCTGAGGATGTTCTCAGGACCTTTCTCAAGAACAAGTTTAAGAAATAAGGATACTAGTGAATGAGGCCCATTGTTTTGTCTCCTTCAGAGTCCACAAACCCCCAAAATATCAGCAACAGTGACGGCACATCCTGCCCCACGGCATCTCTCCAGCAGCCCAGGAAAGAGCCGAGGCTTTAGAAGGGTCCACAATGCTGCATCCCCACTGCCATGCCGTGGTCTCTTGCACGAGGCAGGAAGAGGAAGTCACGCAACAATATTTAGGATGACGATGAAGCACTGAGGAAATTAGAGCAAATGTCATCCTGCAATTTCAATGGCGATGCTTGTAATGATATGTGATGTTAATGTGTTTCACCAATAGGTGGCAGTATGACGTTGGTTAGAGGAAGTTGTAAGGAAAGAGGGTTTCGTTAATAAATGACTGACGGAGCAGCAATCGGTGTGTGTCGTCAATACATGCTACCAGGAGAAAATATCTCGAACCAACTGTAAAGATGAATTTCATCTGTCAACCTGACGACGACGAGACGCCTTTCTTCGTGGACACAGTCGGGAGAGAGAAGAGTGTTTCAACCGATGAATGGATTGCATTTCACTAAAGCTCGACACAGGGGCGCTGGTAAACATCCTGCCAATGAAAGATTATAATAAACTGATAAACAAGCATAAAGTAAGAGACAAAAAGATAAATCTGAGAACATATGATGATAAGCCAATACCCACAAAGGGATTGTGTAGAGTTACACTGTCCAGCAAAAGTCAGAAAGTGAATGCGTTGTTTGTGCTTGTAGAAGGAAATAGACCAGCAATTTTTGGTTTAAAACCAGTGATCAGCTAGGTCTGATACAGAGGGTCCATGTCGTAGACACAGATAAAGTGACAGCACGTGGGCAAAATGAGAACACAGAGGTTACTACGAGTAGGACTAAAAACACAGACTGAGTGCAAGAATATAAAAAGGTGTTCGAAGGTATAGGCTGCCTACCAGGCAAACATAAAATAAGGCTTAAGGAAAATGCAGAGCCAGTCATACATCCAGCAAGAAAAGTGCCAGTTGCGCTTAAAAAGAGACTGAGGGACAAATAAGACTCACTGATAAAGGAAGGTGTTGTTAGGAAAATTGAGGAACCCACTGAATGGGTGAACTCCTTGGTTATCGTAGAGAAACCTAAAGGAGATCTGAGATTGTGCATAGATCCTAAAGATTTAAATAAAGCGATCCAGCGAGAGCACTATGAAAACCAGCACAATGAGTGGAGCACGCTATTTTACTAAATTAGATGCTTCATCTGGGTTCTACCAAATTGTGCTTGATGAAGAAAGCTCTAAACTGTGCACATTTAATACGCTATTTGGAAGATATT